ATGGAAATCAAATGTATTTGTTTAAAAACAGTCCCTAAATTAGTCAATACCTACAGTATCATGTCTATGGTTGAACGAGTCAAAGTTTGAAATGCACTACAGAATGTTTCGAATGACATCTAAAATAGTGCTTGTTCTATACTCTGTACGGGTTTTCAGACCGAGTCCCCCAAACTGATATACATCTCAAAAATGATCAGTGTCTTCCGTACTGACGGAGTGGAATATGACTAAATCGTTGATGCTACCGATATTAAATGGACTTTGACACCTTACCCAGGCTAATGACTAGAATAAAAAATCTCCCTATTGTAGGGTCCAAACTGAGGTTCGGATAGGGGAATTACTGAACAAGTAATTTAGATACTCGTCTTTCCCAGCTAAATTCCAGAACAAGTGATTTTGGTAAGTACCGGTTCAATTATTAATCATAAATATAAATATACATCATTACCTAAATAATATTACCACTCGGTTATTCCTTCAATTATAACAGAATGTTTTCAATTTTGGAAGAATGCTCCAATTCACAATCAAAATGCACAGTTCCAGTCAGTCCAACCAAAGGAGGAACAAATTAATATGGCCGTCACCATAACTAATTATCAGCTTAAACAACATAACGCAGTTCAGAAAGAAACAGAGAAACTCAATAAAGGCACAACAAATAGAAACCATAATAAAATACAATTGTTATCATCTCAAAATGGAATTGAACAGATTAACAAATGTACAACTAAAGTAATCAATAAGAAAAAAAATACAAATGTATACGTGGAGGGATTTTCACTAACAAACGCTTCCAAAATAGATCTTACACCTATAAAAAGGAAAAGAGTGCGACGGAAATAATACTCTGAAATTTCCTCCGCAGCTTTTTATTCTACAGTGATTACTGTTTTGCCCCCTGACCAACTTTCGTATCTAACTTATACTCATGACCTTAGCAAACATGTATTTTGCCGCTCAGTGACTAGTATTTGAATATTTAGGTAGTCAAGTCCTGAAGGCAAATACTTCCGAGACCTGGGTAGATATAATTGATAGTTCCCAAAATACCTTAGGTGTGTGCCACACAGACACCAGTAGTCACAGAAGTTAAAACTAGTAGCTGAGTCTGAGAATAGATGAATAATTTCCCAGTACAACTGTTATCACAGAAACGTGGCTCATCGGTGATGCAGACTGCCCTCCAATCACTTCAGAATAAACCTTTATTAGAAGTGATTGAGTTCAAAACCGCTGGAGAAGTGGCATAACACCAAGTGTTAGAGATCATTTTCTTTAACCACCGGGTACATAAAAGTCGAACAGTAGTCAAAAAAGTGAGATAGCCAGCTGCATAGTTCGACCCAACTATGAGTTAGAGACCATCGGAGTAATATATCTGAGCTTATTGATTGCTGATGACTTTGTTCTTGATCTCATCTTCTCGTGCATTAAAGCTGATTCAAGTCTTTTTAACAGATATTTCAATGCACATTACTTCAGTCGTGTAAAGCTTAGAACTTGAGGTGCATGAATTGAAAACAGCCTATTATCAACCGCTGTTCACAGCGCACTCGCACATGTTATCAAAATACTCTCCTAGTATGTTTGACGTAGCCTGTAAATTAGCATGCCTCATGTAACATGCTGTTATTTGAGAATAACTATGTATTATTTTATATTAAATGCGTTGGGCATCACTTATGTAGCTGCTCCATCGCAGACTAACATTGAGGTAATTATGGATTGTAATTTCTCAACATACCGACCAGTCTACGTCAGTAGGGTGATCGAAGACGAATGGAATATGTTCAAGGCCACATTAAATTCCCTAAGATTACTATCCATTCTATGGCATCTTATCGCACTCTATTGACCTATAAGAGAACTCAAAAGCTGCTGAGACGTAAAAAACTGGTTTCTGGTAAATAGAACATGATTTGAGAAGACTGAGGTAGGCGCGGAAGATTGTATTATACAAATTTACACTCTTAGTCAATTAAAAACGAAAACATTACATTGAAAACTTTATTTGCACAGCATCTTTAAGTCCTGACTTCCAACGCTCCAGCCTTCTTCCATTCCTGCTGTTGCTTCCTTTACTTCCTGTTGGTACTCCATTTTATTCTTGCTTTTGCTCCATTTGCTTTCCGTTTTCCTCTTGTGACCGTGAGACTTCAGGGGAGGGGACCACCGAAGAGATCTTAGAGAGGTTCCTGCTTATTTATCGCTCTACACCGAACCCTCATACGATTGACGGAGTCTCACCTGCGGAAGCTCTACTTGGTAGAAAATTACGAACACATTTTGATGTCATCCGTCCTACACCAGCTCTTGAGCCTCAGCGAAACTTGTCGATGGAGAAGCAGTTCAATCAACACCATGGGGCAAAAAGACGATCGTTCACAGTGGGCCAGAAAGTACTTGCTATGGACTATCGTGGAAAACATCCTGCATGGACAGCTGGTCGGATTTTAAAAAACAAAGGGAATGTGACTTATGAGGTGTCAGTTGGCTCAGATGTTTGGGTTCGTCATGCTAACCAACTGAAAGCAACTTCGATAGCCAGCAACGGGACTCGGAACCGAATACTCCTTGACATTCTGCTGGACACCTTCGAAATCAAAACGCCTGGAACACACAAGTCAGTTTCTGTGCAAGCAAAGAGTGACACAACTTCGTTATTGCCGAGAAGATGGAGTAATCGAAAGTACAAGCCAGTCACTCGGTTGCAGTTGGACCCTAGCACCAGATCCTACGAATCTTCTCAAAGGAGAGGTGTTAGTGGGACATAGATGGAATTAAAGCACGACTACGTTGCTACGCGCTGATTGGCTAAATTTCTATCCATTCAGCGCCTGATCGAAGCTTGGAGAACAGGATAGAAAATTCTCGTATTATTAGCTGCATGCTGATTGGTCAAATCCAGTCCAGTCGATCACGTGAATTTTCTTCCAGAAGCTTTCTCGGGTAAAAGGCTATAAATAGACTAGCATTGTATTTATTCTTGCCTTCAACCCTTCTTTGCCTTCTTTGCCTTCTTGCTTTCTTTGCCTTGGCTTTCGCTGTCACCTCCGGCTTCTTTTCCTTGCTATTTTGGAATACAATCCTTCCTGTTCAACCATGTTCTGATTTGGGTTACTTGTCCAGTGTTTTGTGTCGAGAATACTAAGCAATAAGATTTAGCCGGGAATTATCTTAAGCAACCGTTACAACACTTCTTATACTACTTATATCGTTCGTATAAGTAGCACACACCACAGATTCATTTAAATGTTAATATTTAAAATCATAAGTATGCATAAAATTATCCCAACCAGTTGCCACGCCGCTTACGAAAGATAGTTGACACAAAATTGCCGTACTTACCGAAAACTGTAGCTTTTGTTCATCAAGCAAACAACAAGATGTAGTGATGCAATCCCTGCATTACGATAGTATGAGGATTAAATATTCTATCGAAATCAACTAAGTCCAGAGCTGAGATTTGACGGGTTTTTCGGGAGGATCGATTCCGCGGATACTATGACCAAAACTTCCTCGATTTTCTCTTCTAAGTCAGTGAATAACCCACACCAAAAAATTATATCACTGATCCTCTTTATTATATTTTGTAAATCAACTTTATTACTAACAACTTGGTTCTTCTGAATTTCCTCGATTCTTTCAACTAACTTCTCATTAGTTATCTCACTACTGAATTGTCTTCATTAACCTACATAAGCGCAGGTGTAAAGTGTTCTGATATTAAAAATGTTTGGGTAAACATACCTTTGTTTTATCCATAAACGTATGTGCGAAGCCGTTGTTCGGCTTTGCACATGAATATTTTCTGTTCTGCTCCTCGTCCCGTTTTCTTTATTCCTCTTTTTTCAGAACCTTACTCCAATCCACATATATTAGTCTGGATATTTGCAGTAGACTTGGTTACCCTAGCCAAGAACATGTGAAATCATTAGCTGACGAATATCAACAGACTTTTGTACATTTACCGCATCAATTCTTGTTATATGAAAACCTGTCTGTACCATGAATCATTTCTCAGCCCATAAGATGATTGTCGTAACGCGACCTTCGTAACTTGCTCCAATTGATCGCTTTGTACATTCCATCTTTAAGAAAACAATGAATCTTGTGAAATGTTTCAGTAACTTTATACCGTTTTCAGAAAAAAATATGTTGCTAATCTTAACATTTTGATCTTGCCTGTAAATTGGCATGTCTCTTGTAACATGTTTGTTATATGAGAATAAATTATTATTATTATTATTATTATTATTATTATTATTATTAACCTGTCGATAATGTAGTGGAAGTCTGAGGAACAATAAGTTATAAGTTTGATCATCTTCATCTTGAGGATGATCTAAACGAACCAGTTACATGGTCACAACCTTGATAATCTGGAAGTAATTTTAGGAAGAGCCTGGTAATTCACATTAAATACTATAATGGTCATTTGTATACTGCCAACAGAAAACCGAATCCTCAATAACAGACAAAATAGCATGAAAGTGATCGAAATTCATAACTTGAAAAAAACTACTCCTTGCAGTATGGAAGGCATCAAAGGTTTTCAAGAATGGCATTCCATATTAGCATAATGTATTTTAACTAATGAATAGAATATCACATCATCTAACTTCCTATTGTAGTGCCCACAGCAGTAGGAGTGAAAAATGGCATAGATATGCACTCAAGGGCACAACCAAACACCCAGAAACGTATCGCAAGAACAAGAATCGAGCGCAAAGAAATTAATTAGTTCATACTAGATCGTGAAAAAGATACTGGATATCGTAAACGTTGAATAATGGAAATCGACATTCGGAATTTCTCAACAGGTGTTCACTGAATACGACAATCCTATTCAGCATTTTCGTAAACAGTAAATACCTGCATCTAAAGATGGATTTGGGCTAGTAAAAGTATAAAAACAGAAGTCCCAACAGTTGAGCCGCATTCCTTGAAAGTGAATGCTTGTTTTATTGCATCACTTTTTTGTACTCTATTGGGAACGTTTGGATTCCCTTACAATTCATTTATGAATTCCGATTATTCTTACTCGTCTTTATTACTGAAATTATACAAGAATTCACTCTGGATGAGTAAAATCTAACATTGGTAAGATAAGGAGTGTTTGATTTGTAACAGGTTTAGATGTACTATGAACAACCTTGAACATATTGTATGAACAATACTGTTCTTGTTTCATTCGAACAGCATTTGTTCACCGACAAGTATGATTACTCATTGAGCTTATTTCGAATAGTTTTACAATCCTCTAGAAATAAAAATGTAGAACTAAGGATATGGAGATCAACATTTCATGAAAACTTCCCTCATTCTTAACAGCTGATCAAAGTCTTGACTACCATATCCACTGAAATAAACGATCACGACCGTGATGGATTAGCGTTGGCGATATCAGGAATTAGATTCACTTATATATTAACTAGCCTGAGAAACAGACGTAGCACCATCTGACTAGTCCAGATCACTGATTCTTCCAGTACATAAGAAAACGAAACCTGTCATGTAATGACCACTATTCTGTAACTGACTGAATGTGATGACCAGTGGGGAATCATTTTGATCAACATATATTCTAAACTACTACCCTCTATAACTATCTGTTCATTAAATACGCGAGCTGATGCCATGATGACTTGAAATTACCGAGAATAGAGACATCGAATCAAGCCACTAATGTATTGGACGTCTCTTTCGTCTCGATCCAGAACTACTCAACATACGAGTGATAGACACCATAACTCTCATGTCTTGCTGTAGAATCCAATTTCATAGTAGACACGGGATTCCGCACAGATGTGGGTTATCCCAATTAGCCATAGGCATCTTAGAACAACAAAATGCAATGAACAAGATTACTAGCACATGAGTTCAAACAGTTGTATTAACACTGATATGGATAACTGACAAAATTGAGGATATCTTTCGCGAACACATTATGAAAGGGTTTGTCTGAAGGCATTCTGGAACTTAAGATCCAGAGTGAATGAGCCCGCGCTATGTGTTTAGTCTGTAGTCGTTGTTATGACACAGGCATCAGTGCGCAGGTTTACGCCTCTTAAAATAGCTCGGATATCGAATTCTTGTGTTGATATTATGTTTAGCTTTCTAACTCTAACCTACTTACTTATATACCAGCTAACATCACCTATCAAAGTAATCGACATACTTCGTTTGGAGGATTTATATGTAGTATTTATAAACATAACTTAATAATTGTGTATGAAATCCAAGGTAACACCTCATATATAACTTTTTTTGAGTTAGTCAACTGAACTACGCTGAAAAGTAAAGCCTCGTTTGTCATCATCTACGAATAATTTTACCTTTTTTCTACAAACCAAGTATTCAACTTTACTATGAGTTGTAAAGACTGATTGTTTTTTTCTTAGCGTATAATTAGTTTCATGTGCTTATCTTCCTCCTTAATTTAAAATTTTTCAGTAAACCTTCAATATCCAGTTGTTATACCCTGTACAAATATAGTATTTTGTTGACTATATTTGGATATAAAATGGATTAGTGAAATTGAATGTTTTTTCTGGCTTTTCTGGCTTTTCTGGCTAACAACAGTTTGTTTTCAAACAAGGTATTACATATCTACGTATGTAAATGTTTTCAATTAACAGTTTATTGTATACAGTAGATTTTAAGTTTGTAGAGAAAACTTTTAAAAAAGTATGTTTACTTATCCCATGAGTTCTTGCTACTCTGTTGTAAAAACTCAAAATCGATTCTCAATCATTTTGTTGACGTATACACACGTCGTGAGAGTAACTTCAGTCCTGTATTTTGGTTATGCGTTTTAAATTCTAGTCAGCGCTGAAATTCAAGATGCAGAATTATTTTCCGATCCGACTCATCAACCTAATCTACTATATGCATTTCATGTTCACAATGATACCTGAATCGGGTACTAATTACTTAGAAAAATTCAAATTCGACTGAATATATTACTTGTTAGTATAATATAATTTGTTGAAATATGAAGTTTTTAATCATTGTTAAACAGAAATTATTTATTCGGTTGAACTATCACATTCAGTTAACCTTATCATTAGTATACTCTATTTCCTTGCTAGATTCTTAATTGTGCCATATAGTTGTCTCATCTTCATTTCTCTTGCACCTTTTACACTGCCAATACTAGGTCTTCCACATATCTTCACTTATCATCATCTCCAATGCCCCTCTCCAACTGCATAATTTCTTTTATCTATTAGGCCTATGTCTTGGTTTCCCTTGATCTTGCTGATCGCTGTCTTCCTGTTTTCCTTTTCTTCAATTATGTTCAGGATACACAGAGACAAACTCCTTATGCTAGTGCTCCTTACAGCCTAGCAACTTGTGATATGTTGACGTTATTACTCCTTTAATTCTTTTTCAATTGTCATTCATATCGGTTTCATCTTCTTTGAGTAGTAGATATTATTGTCTTGGAACTTATTGTTGAGAGCTATTTCAATCCGTTCAGTTTTTCAACATTCCGAGAGAAAACTATATTGAATTTCTGCAATGTTGTCTATTTGTCTGTTTATTGCTCCTTTAATTTCAATTTCAGCTTGCCTAGCACTAGGCGGTGGTCTGAAGCTACTACTTCAGCTCCAATCATTTCTTGCATTATTAGGCGCTTTAGGCGATCCTTTGAAGAACATCAGTGCTTCAAGTTGAGTTTTTATGACCTAACAATACAAGCTTTTTGTGCGGTTTTGTTTTGACACGTTTTCTATTCGTCAATAATTTTAATTCTAAAGAAGCTTGAGCCAGGTTTCCGGAAAAAAACGTTTAAATCTTACACAAATTTCAATCTCTGAAATTATTTCACTCATGATTTTTACGGATAATTTCAACTGCATTTAGTTGTGCTAAGGTTCTCGAGGTTTTTTGACTTTTACGTCTTCTGGCATAAACCATGTTTCTATCACAAGCAAGTAATTGATTAGCTATTAAAATCATAAATCTTATATTCGAATGTTAAAAAACTGTTTTCAAATTTGAATTTGATCAAGTTGGACATTAACACCGTTAGATATCGGTTCAGTGGTCTAACGGTTAGGGCGTTCGCGCACAATACCGAGGGTCCCGGGTTCGAATCCTGCGGGATGCAGGAGTCGAGGATGCGAACTGCTGAGGAGTCCCATACCAGGACGAAACGGCCGTCCAGTGCTTCCAGGTTCCTAATGGTGGTCTAACATTGGTCGATTCATGGTTTCATAAATGTTTAAATTCACCAACAATTACCACTGATATTTCACAACAAACTAAAGATCACATAAAAACAATGTGAACATTCTTAGTTTATCTATTCCCTTCTGATACTGATGATACTTTTTATCTGAAAGTACCCTACTGTTGTTTATTTAGGAGTTATTCCGGCCTCAAATAATTAGAATGTAGAATATCAATTGCATTATCCAAAGCAGTATAAAATAAAGCATTCGTCCTTTCAAATATATGATGAACCAATCTGTTAGGATATTCATCAAATATCCTAAGAGGATTATTTGTAGGTCTATTGGTCAATTCCTATTGGTCGTCTTAACTATCAATATCACATACTTCAAACGTTGTTTCCAATTCAACCTAACTGTACAAATATTCAGTCAGGAAGGATTTGATTTTGACTGAATTGGTCTCGTGTGCTGTTACAGGTATGAGGGCGGTTGTCACTTCCCGACTGCCCACACCTTGGAAAGTTGTTTCTTGAGGGATCTGAAAAGGAAGATAGATTAGTGTTGGTCTTAGAGACCTGGGAGCGTGACCGCAGAGCCCAAGGGACAACTGCTTGAGGCCGGTTACTCACGGCCTTTTTATGAGAAGTTTTTAAAGTGTTAGCACTGCTCTTAAAAGCCTTTAGTGGGCACCCATACCGCCGGAGACGGAAATCCGTGAGATAGGGTGAGGTGTGACATTTTTAGGGTCGACCTTTTCTAACCCTTCCTTCTTTGTGAGAAGGCAGCATTGCTGAAATTCTGGTTGTCCGAGGAAAACACCTTACTGCTGTCACACCCCTCTGCAGTGAGCAGTACGACTTCACCCTCAGACCTTGAGTAGCTGCTTTTAGTCTCACCGCTCTCCAATCGACCTGCCTGTCATGGTAGAACCTTCAGAAACATTAGTTCCCGCCAACATAGCTCGGTTGGGTCATGACGACAGGCAAGCCCGACCACCACGTCAAGGTAGCAGCTTCGGTCGGGACTGAATAAATATGCATTTTCTGTAATGTTTTAGGACCCGGATCCTTAATCCGGTCTCCTTATCCTCTTCTGGACTGGGACCTCGTACTTTCTGGATGTTTGTACAATAATACACGTTTTACTTCATATCAAATCTTCTTCCTCTATTCAATGAGGGTTTGTTGGGACGCTCGCAATTAGAGTAGCCTATCGTGTCACTGGATCATTGTCTCGCCCTCATTTACTGACTAAGGTAAATTCGTAATATAGTTCAAGCATATCAAATGACATGGTCACGCACATGCTTAACACAAACACTGTAGCATGCTGTTTCGATAGAGAGAAGACAATTGACACATGTATCAACTCAAAACCATAGAAATGGTGGTCTAACATTGATCAATTCATGAATTCAAAAATGTGTAACTTAACAATCTTCACAACCCCGTCATGCAAATTACCTGTGCTAACTAGTGACTAGCTTCGTGAGGAATCTTCTCCGAGTTCTAGTGGGAAGATGTGACCAGTGAAGTTCAACCTGTTCGGGTGTAGACTAACTACCGAAGACTGTGTATGAGGTTGTGCAACTCCGTGAATTTGATCAAGTTAGACATTAACACCGTTGGATACCGGCTCAGTGGTCTAACGGTGAGGGCGTTCGCGCACAATACCGAAGGTCCTGAGTTCGAATCCTGCGGGGTGCAGGAGTCATGGATGCGCACTGCTGAGGAGTCCCATACCAGGACGAGATGGCCGTTCAGTGCTTCCAGGTTTCTAATGTTGGTGGTCTATCATTGATCGATTCATGGTTTCAAAAATGTGTAACTTAACAATCTTCACAACCCCGTAACGCACATAAATAAATATCAAGCTATATATATATAGAAAATAAACCCAACTGATAACGAAACAGTACTACCAATACATGGAAACAGTGGGGCAAAACTGTTTCAGTAGTATAAAACGTAGACTAAACCTACTTCATACAACTTACTACACAATATGCCATTTAACAAATTATAAGTAATAAATGATTTTATTAAGGTTTCTGATTAAATTTTGCTGTAAAAATGATAATCAAATTGTAATTTATGAATCAATTTCCTATTTTTTTTTTAAAATTATGTAGAGTTGAAAAATTCTCTGAGAAAAAAATTTTTAGAAAAAAGAAACCCAAATGTTTAAAAGACCATTCATTGTATGCTATATTTGTGGTCGAGAATTTGGCAGCGCTTCGATTGGTATTCATGAACCACAATGTTTAGAAAAATGGCATAAAAGAAATAATTTATTACCAAAATCTGAACGATTAAAACCACCAATTAAACCAAAAAAACTCTCTATAAGTGGTAATGGTGGCTATCGTATAGATTTGCCATCAGGAAATACAAAATTTGTAAGTAGTATGAATGAAGCAGCAGAAATTGCAGCCTATGCTAATTTAGTACCATGTCCTACATGTGGCCGTACATTTAATCCTGATCGAATTGATGTGCATAAACGTATATGTAAATCGGTATCACAGAATAAAAATCAAACAGTCAATACGAACAGTGTAAAAACCGCAGTCAAATCAGACAATTCAACTGTGAATAGTCGAAATCAAGTCAATACTGATAAATTCAAGACAACTAACAAAATTATGTCCCCTCAACAACAACAACGAGAAGGCGGAGGAATCACAGCAGAATCAGATCGACCTAAAGAAACAATACCACGCAAACCAATAACAGCAGTATGTTATATATGTGGACGTGAATATGGTACACGATCAATTGGTATACATGAACCGAAATGTTTAGAAAAATGGCATAGACAAAATAATGAATTACCGCCAGCAATGCGACGTAAACCACCAGAACGACCAGTTGATTTGCCAATTAAATCTTCCAATAATTATGATTTACAGAAATATAATGAGCAAGCTATGCAATCTAGTAAATCTTTATTAGTTCCATGTAGTATTTGTAATCGTACATTTAATCCGGATAGAATAGAAGTACATGAAAGGATTTGTAAGAAAAATCAGAAATAATTTATGAAAATTAAAACAAAAAGCAGATTTAAAATCGAATTTGCCGCCATTTTATTTTTTAAAGATAAAAATTCAGCAATAATTTCTTTCTTGGTTTGTTTGTTATGTTTATTTATTTTTTATTTTTGATTTTACTCTCATTTACTTTAAATTTTCATTAATTTTTTGTTCAGTTGTCAAGATTCTATTTATTTTTATTTTTTTTGGTTACTATAAACTATTTGATTTTAACAAATATGTATTCAGTTCATTTTCAAATAAGTAAAATGTAGTAACTGTTTTTATGCCTCCCAGAAAAAAAATTCTTCTTGATGACTGACTATCTGGTGAACAATAGTGAAATTGTGTTATGCCTTCATGTAAACATGTCAGTCAATTTGATTTGCTTGAACGATTACGAGTTTACCTGGTCGGAAAACGAGAGAGAGGATCCGGTGAGACGACATACTACTCAAATCCGATTATTCCAAACCGCATATTGAGTAAAAAATTAGAAGACATGATATGAAGTAGAACCTGTATTCTATAAGCATCCAGTCCGAGTCCAGAAGAGGATCGAATTCCCGGACTAGGGATCCTGGTTCTGGTCATAAAACGTTACCGATAATGCGTATTTATACATTTTGGTCGAATAGGAAACAGCATCGAAGTCTGTGACATTGACAGTTAAGACAGTGTTAGGATATTCATCCAATATCCTAAAAGAATTACTGGACAATTCATATTGGTTGATTGCTACTGGTCAATTTTATGGTCGTCCTAGATATCAATGTCACATACTCCAATGTTGTTTCTTATTGGTTGTATTGACGTTCAATGTCACTTCAAATTTTGCTTCCTATTGGTCGTCTTAGCTGTCAATGTCACAGATTTCGATGCTGTTTCCTATACGACCAAAATGAATAAATACGCATTATCTGTAACGTTTTATGACCAGGACCAGGGCTCGGTCCCGGGTCCCTAGTCCGGGATCCTGATTCTCTTCTGGATTCGGACCTCGTAATTTCTGGATGCTTGTAGAATACAGGTTCTACTTCATATCAAGTCTTGTCTTCTTTTACTAAATATGTGGGTTGGGATAATCGAATTTGAGTATCATGTGGTGTCTCCGGATCCTCGCTCTCGTTTTCCGACCAGGTAAACTCGTAATAGTTCAAGCATATCAAGTTGATGTGTTTACGTGCAGGCGTAACAGACAACCAAGAGGAAGCAACATTTGAAGTGATATTGATCATCAGGACAACCAATAAGAAACAATATTGGAGCACGGGACTTTGATATCTAGGACGACCATAAAATTGACCAGTAGGAATTAACCAATAGGAATAGACCAATAATTCTCTTAGGATATTGGATGAATACCCTAAAAAATTGATTGTTTAACATTCAGCTGCATAGATATGAAGTTGGTCTTCGAAAATATAGAACACATGACAAAGCTTCAAGTTTTTCATCATATATTTCTTCAAGTCATTCTATGAGTGTAGCGAAATGACAGCAAATTGTGTTAAGGTGTCTTAGAGAAAATAGGACAAACTGGTCGGCAAGGCAGCATTTTCATTGACATGGCTAGTAAGTTAGGGTCAGAAAGCTAAATATAATATCAGCACACGAAGTCGATATCTTAGCTACTTTAGGAGGCATAGACCTGCACACTGATGCATGTACGATAATTACGACTACTGGTTGGACACATGACGTGTGTGCATTCACTATGGATCTTGAGTTCCAACGTGCCTACATACACAACTGATCATTAAGTATTCACGAATTATATTCTCAGTGCTTTTAGTTTCTTCATATCAGTGTTACTACAATTATTTGAACTCATTTGCTAATAATCTCGTTCATTGCACCTTGTTGTACTAAGATGCGATAGCTAATTGGGACAACCCACATTTGTGTCAGGTTCCGTGTCTATTATGATATTGAATTCTACAATAAGACATGAGAGTTCTAGTGTCTCTCACTTATATGGTGTTGTGTGTATTGTTGAATACTGCTGAATCAAGACGAAACAAACGTCCAGTAAACTAGTGACCAGATTCGATGTCTCTCTCCTCGGTGGTTTCAAGTCATCATGACATCAGCTCACGTATTGATTGGACAGATAGTTATAGATGGTAGTAGTTTAGACAATATATTGGTCAAAATGATTCCCCATCGGTCATCACAGTCAGTCAGCTACAGAATAGTGGTCGTTACACGATAGGTTTCGTTTCCTTATGTACTGGAACAATCAGTGATCTGGACTAGTCAGATGGTATTACGTCTGTTCCTCAGGCTAGTTAATATATCAGTGAATCTAATTCCTGATATGGAGTCCACATCATTAGATATCACCAACGCTAGTCGATCACGTTCGTGATCGTTTATTTCAATGGATATGGTCGTCTAGACTTTGATCAGCTGTTCAGAATGAGAAAAGTTTTCATGAAATGTTGATCTCCATATCCTTAGTTCTACATTTGTATTTCTAGAGGATTGTAAAACTATTCGAAATAAGCTCAATGAGTAATCATACTTGTCGGTGAACAACCACTGTTCGAATTAAACAAGTGCCGTTTTGTTCATACTTTTCCCATATAGAGTGAATTTGTGTATTAATTCAGTAATAAGGACGAGTAAGAATACTTGGAATTTATGAGTGAATTACAAAGAGGGTCCTACTGTTGTTAATGTGCAATAAGTGTTTGAGAAATTCAGTAATACGCATCGTATTTATAGCGAGGTAGTATTTTTTCCATCGCGCCTCGATATTTCAGTACAGTGTTAGTTATTGGGTATATTTCGATGTTGGCGTTGATAAAACAAGTCGCTATCACATTACCGGGTAGGAGATTGGATTGTTACATTATGAAGGAATATAACACTTGATTGTAAGGAAACATTGAGATGATAAAGTTCATAATGAGTGGGTGAAATCCGTATCGACAGACAAATGGCTAACAACGACAGATATACATGGGTGACTGGGTTTTAATGTGTTAACAGTAATAAAAGTGTTAGAGATAAGAGGTTCTGACACATGCACCATGTACCGCTATTCCAGGTAAAAGCTGGTAATCACGTGTGAGAAAGTACCTTCTATTACTGCTTTTCACTGGGGGGTAGTTGGTTACGTTTACTAAGACAGCTATCTGAGGTCGAGTCGAAAATGTTTCAAACTCTTGCAGTTAATCTATTTGGTTGTGGATATATATGATTTATGTCACTACAGCCCATAGTTTAGTGATCTCACGATCGAAACTTTTATAGCCTAAATAAATCACGCATATGAGTTTTAAAAAAGCACGAGATAGAATTAGATTTATATATAATCGAGGTTTGCCGACTGTAGATTGCGATTTTGAAAAGTCCATTTTGTACGTTTGTATTCAAAGAGTACGCTTGAAGCATGCCAGGGAATTTTGGATACAGAACATTTACTGGGAAAATGGATGACAATCTGTTTTCCTTAAGCAAATATGAATACAAACTATCAAGAAGCACTTTTTCATCATGGTACCGAATTTCTTAATAGACATTAAAAGTGAACTCAGCATAATGAAAATAAAAGGATTTTATAAGCATTAATCAAGATTTTTTAACGTGAGATTCTTTATTCTATAATCTTGAACATTTATCAGTAAGTTGACCGGTAACATTATCATGCATAAAGCGCCTCAGCTCAAGAACTAGGATACTAGCTATACGACGATAAGGCAAATAAACCTTTAACCTAAATGTGACCGCTGCTCGTATATCCGTCCTAGAACCTATTAGCTTACTAATGACAGAGGTCGGTTACCTGACAGATTTCTCAGGCAAGTACATGTAAAACGGTGAGAATAAGTGGGAGATACTGACCATTCGAAGAAACGATTCTGTACGATTGTTAGTAGCGATGCTCTGCATGACAGATTAACGAGTGTGATTAGTAAGACGTTCAACGTGGCCGATCTTGAGTCAACACTTTCTAGTTGGTTAGTGATATGTACTTCGATGAAGGATTGCTTACTTGGATTTGCCTGTCCGATTTCCATCTACATATTCGGCTGCTCTTGAGGAGGTAGCTATATTAGACGTACTACCGGACAACTCAAACAACCACTGAGTGAACGTTTCTCAACAAGGTTTGGAATAGCCGAACAATACACAACTCTGTCTTTACACATGTGATTAATAGCAGTCATATTATAGATAATACCGGACCATTCTGACAGACCTAGCGTACACCACCGCCATTTCCCACTGAGGTTCAATCAAGTCTCTTACATACAGCAGGAGCTATAGAGACCCGAACTCATAATCCCAGTTTATGTGTTCGTAACATCCTTGTACCCTCCCTGGTCATATTTGACTTTATTGCGTAATCCTAACAATACCTTTGATTATTATTTGAAGGTCTATTTGTCCAAGTTTGGAGTACTACTTCCAATCGTGAACTATTGGCCAGGATGTGTTATTCTTATCATCTCAACTAGTAGACCTGTCTTCTTATTATCATCAGCTTATATCTTTTTTCCCGTTGAGATGCTTCATTAACAGCGGGAATGTCTTTGTAATGATATTTGGTTCTCTGAGCTGGATGTCTTTGTTACCTACTAGCTATCCATTAAGAAAATATTAATTAATAATATTCAATGACAAAACTTGAAACCACTTTGAATGAGTTTATTCATGTGGAGGAGTCCTCAAGTATTTCGCCTAAGAATCCACAGAAATCCAGGAAACGTCTGGAAATACTTGATCCAACCAGCGTTGAATGTAAGTTTCACAAAAACGTCTCGCAAATGTCGACTGGTGTCACGTTTCTGATCAGATTTTCGCCCAAATTGTTACCATATTTAGTATGATTTCAGAAAGCCAGGGTCGTGGTGTGTGTAACCCAATAAACAACCTCTTGGAATAAAGCGTTCTTTCGCACTTTGCACCGTCCTTGTTGTGTTCAAATTGTTGCATAGAATTAAACTGAGGTATATAAGGAAGCAGTTAGGAAATCGAATCGAGCGTTTATATCAAGGAGACTTATAAATTTACATTGTTTCTAAACATGGTTTTGGCCGATATAAATAAAGCAAAACAAGAGAAGAGTGTACTAAGTAAACAGTGATTTATTGCAAGACCACTACTACTACTACTACTACTACAAGACACGTAACAATGTACAAATACTTTTTTACAATGCCAATCTTTCTTTCTTAACAGGTATATCACATTCATCTAGAATATCATTATTATCGAAATGATTTTTGTTGTTGGGCTGTGGTGTATGAACGGTATTGTCATCTTTATTGGTTATCGGTGTATCATCTGTTTCTGGAACTTTGTCAATAATAATTAGAGGAGGTGCAGCATCTCTAAAACCATAAGTATGATTATCCAATGTAGAAAGCCATTGAAGCATACTTAGCATTGATAATAGTAAAATTGATAGGCGTTAAGGAAATCGACAATTATTAAAAAACGTGTTGATATTTTTAAAAAAATACAATGAATTATGAGCCTAGCAAACACACCAGATCATAGCTAAACCAGCTTGATAATCGTATTGACTAAATTGAGACATTGTTTGGGGCATTTGTTCGTCCAAGATTCTACTGATCCAAACAGGAATTAATAAAAGTCAGCTCTAAAAATGGCAAACCTTATGATTCCTTGTCGCGTGGTAGGGTCTTAAAAGTACAAAGTTGATATCACAAGCGTCGATGTGTGGCTGGTTTCAGGTAGAGATAACTTTGGTTCTGCGATCACTTTTCCAGGTCGTTAAGGTTACACCTAATCAAGTCTTCTCGTTCGTTAGTAATCATAAAGTGGGCAACTGGGAAATGACAACGTTATTCGTACACCAGTGTACATCACCTCTACGTTGATCATGATGACAATCATGACTCGTAGAGTTGACATATTAAACTTACGGGCAGTTATGCACCACCGAAATATGATGATAGTCGAGCTGCAGTGCAAACTGGATTTTAAAATAGAGACAAGATTCTAGATAGGTTTTTTCCCAACGAACAAAAGGTCTTGAGTGTGATCGATGAAAAACTTTTGCTTGGTCTACCTATTTGGGCGGTAAAACCGCCAACTACCATTACTACATAAGAGCACTTGATTTTTTGAGGGAAGTTGCAAAGCTTTCTGTGAAATTCATCTTTTACCACAACCAAGCTGCAGTCAGTGGGAGCGTAGGCAAGTGTCCCCATCTTTACGAGTTCTTACTGTCGCGTTTAGTCAGACAGCGTACAAGCGACTCTCGGCTGGGACCCAGTCTAAGAGAGCTACTTTTGCTCCAGGACTCAGTGCTATACATATAACGGCGAGGCCAGAGCGAGAAGCAATGGGGCTTCCACATACAAGAAGCGTAAATCGGGACGGTTAGTTCTCTTTACAAAGTGAGGTAAAATGAATGTTTCTACTCGAGTCCTGTATGCGCGTTTCGTAGACGCAGCATAACCGGATAGCAAGAAATTTTAAAGTCCCAGCTGAGGAAGCTTGTCCTATTTGGCACAAGGTTCGAACATTAAAAGCTCCATACAAGAAAGTTATCAGGAGGTGTAGAAAGGACTTGATTGCCACCGATTCGGTCTCGTGTGCTGTTAAGTGGATGTTACTCCCCAGGTACCCATACCGTGTAAGAGTTCTTATTGAGGAACCTGAGAAGAAAGTTGGATTAGTGTGGGCACAGAACCTAGGGAACAACTGCTTGATGCCGGTCATGCATGGCCCCTTCATGGGAAATTTGTGCAGTGTTAGCTTCGCTCTTCGAAAGGCCTTGCCGCCAGAAACGGAAATCTGTGAGATAAGTTGGGGTGTGACTTTTCTAACCCTTCCTTCCTGGTGAGAAGGCAGAATCGCTGCAGATGCTGGTTGTCCGAGGGAAACACCTTACCGCCATCACAGCCCTCTACAGTGAGCAGTATGACCTCGTCCTCAAACCTTAGGTTAAGTTGCTGCTTTTAGTCTTACCCACTCAACCTGCCTAAAGGTACAGGTTTTCTAGTCAATCACGATAGGCAAACCTGACCACCAAGTCAAAGTAACAACTACAGTCAGGACTAAGCTACTGTATCGACATCTAATGATTTACAATTGAAATTTTAGTCAGTCTGCGTTACAAGGCGACTAGTATACAACGTTATTTACTGTTCTACTCCAAACTGGGTTCACTAGACATATGAAGTTAGTTACTAAGAGTGGACATGATAACTGTTTACAAGATTGACTTTATGAAGTAATCTTCATCAAGAAGTGATTGTATCTGAATGAAGGAGATTAACTGAAAAACAAATAGACTTGTGCAACCATTGTGTCGAAGATACAAGAACTAAAGTAATAATTACATATTGATAATATAATCGGAATCATATAAAACACAACATAAATTATAAAAGGATACGATTTTTCATCAGACTCAACTCGATCAATATGCTCATAAACATGTTGCATTTTAAATTTGTTTCTTTGTTCCTATTTTTATAACAAGGAAAATGAAAAAAAAAATGCAAATTGAATTATTTTAAATTTATTCGAAGACAGATGATATACACAGCGCCGTAACGACTAGACAAGTATAACACTAGTCACTACTATTGTTTAATGAGTAGAAAATTCACTCTTATGATAGGTTAATTGCTATCTGTTTAAATAGCTCCATAGTCATATCGCTGATTAGTGACATTAAACTAACTTATGGGGTAATCATTTCTTTCAAGAAACATATGTTTTAGTGACAAGTTTCAACTATCAATAGAATTGAAATACAAGCACACAAATATCAAAATAGAAAATCTTGATATTCGTAGGTTACTGGTTTTTGAGCATAGATGTCTCCGTAGCATTGCTTGTCTATCTATGGACTATCATCGAGTAAGCAATGCTGTAGTTAGGAAACAGGTAATACGTAAGGATAGCAGATCAATAGATGAAGTAGTGAAACTTCATCAATTGAGGTGGTTGGGACATGTGCAATGCATGACCAACCACCAACTACCTCGAGCTATGTTTTGTGATATAGGAGTAGGTTGAAAGAAAGCTACGGGGGGCAAACCAAAACAAGGCACAAATCCATGACGTCACTGACAAGTGGACTGAGTCATGTTGGTAGATGTAGGCTACCTGGTTGGGGTACGCGAGATGATAGTGATCGATGGTTTGTGTTCTCTCAAATCCTAACCTTCAAAGTTCCTCATCACCTTTATTTCTTCCTTTTCAAGTTTATTTCACTAGATTCTACTTCTTGAATAATATCCTCGAACCCTAATCTCTCCGATTACTACTAATTCTTCCCCTACCTCTACTACTATGGGATTTGTAGTGAAAATTGAGTCTCTATACTTAAGTGGTATGGCAACCTGAACTAATGTACGTACGTACAAAGTTCTACGTTGTAACCAACTGACTGATTATTGATATTATCACATTTCTGTTGCTTGAATAAATGTTGACTTATAGACTAAAGTTGATAAAGACGTTTTTGGAAACTGATAATATAACTTAACAGTAAATTTTCATTACAAACTAAAGTTACAATCAGAGAGTTATTCGAAGTTACAATGAGGGGCAGCAGAGTATTACCAATCTCCATCAGAACTTCTTTCATCTCAACGAAACATCAAATAACAAACGACACAATCCTAGATGTGACTGAAAAGAGTTTTTGTGGTTAGCAAAATATACCAGCACACTCTTTGGTAATATAAAATTATAGTGAAGATGTGGTTAATTGGTTTATGTTGACTACTGGTCGAATAGCAGAATTCGTGTTTCTGGATTGTTCCAATCATTTAGTAGCATGGAACAAAATCTGAAGTATGAAAACATTCTACCCCATCGACATAAAACGTTGCTGCTTTCTACTGTACCCACTTTGCGTCAATACCGATAAGCAACTGAGTCCAGAATGTTAGTTAACTCATAATTTCAATAATAACAAACCTTATTCATAATGAAATTAGTTCACAAAAATAAAATTTCAACAAAATGTTTAATGTACTCACATTAAATCGATAGTACAAGTATAGTATAGTATAGTAAAATAATTGTTTAACTAACACTCACATCATATTTACTCCAATCAATTGGTTGATGGATACCATCATCTTGATATTTTGTATTATAATTACTATAATCAACTTGATTCAGCATAAGACCTAGTCCAGGAGCTTTTGGTACATCTACCTGTAAACAAATATGAGAGAGAGACAGAGAGATGAGCATAAACATGTAGACAGTGTATGTTTCTTTTGAATTGAATGACAATTTAATAACTTCAAATAAGTTGTTAGTTCTTACACCACAAAAAATAGAAACATATAATCAAACTTGCCAAAATAGATTTATTCATTGGTATACTATTCGATTTGGATTATCTAGTCAGTCATTTACAATGTAGAACTTGGTAAGTGCATACATTAGTTCAACTAGCATAAAGAGACCAAATTACACATAGAAATCAAGAATCAATCATTGTTAGACCACCATTAGAAACCTGGACACACTGGACAGCCGTTTCGTCTTGGTATAGGACGATGTGCTCACTGGTGATTAGCTTCGTAAGGAGATTCTTGGATTTCTAATGAGAAGACGTGACCAGTGGAGTACTTAAACCCCGTCGGAAGTAGGCAATAAATGCTTAAGACAAATGGGTGAGGTCGCGCAAAAACTCTAGATTGGTCAGAGTAAGACATTAACACAGTTGGATGCCGGCCTAGTGGTCCAGAGGTTAGGCGTTCGCGGGCAAGACTGAAGGTCCTGCGCCCGATTGATGCGAGAAGCGGGAGTCGTGGATGCGCACTGCTGATGAGTTTCATAAAGGGACGAAATGGCGGTGAAGTGCTTCCAGGTTTCTAATGGCGGTCGATTAATCACTGATTCATGTGTAAAAACAATGATCTCCATAACTCCGATTGAAAAAAGAGACGAAATTATCAGGCCAAATCTCAGGGTAATGAAAGTAGTAACAGTATTAGTAGTAATAGATAAGTTTAGGAATAAAAAGATAAATCAATGAAAGAAAAGTGATGAATTTCGAAAATTGCGATTGGAGGAAGGACAATGAGTGGATGTACCTGTGCTAAGTCTTTTAAAGTCTCTAGCCACTGATTACGATTGTCATGTGGACCAGGTAATTTGCATCTACCCACTTGGTTTTGCTTAATTGCCAACGACTTCATGGGTTTGTGCCATATTTTGATATGGCCGCTCCTATCTTTCTTCCAACCCATTCCTATACCAGACAAAACTCGTTCAGGTAGGTGATGGTTGAGCATCAGTAATATATGTCCACTGGGTATACGCCATACTAAATGCTACTGATTATTTTGCTGTTTATTTAGTTGGTGATTACTGTGCATTAGGTAGAGACGGCAGATCAATAAATGAAATATTGAAACTTCATCAGTTGAGGTGGTTGGGACATGTGTTGCGAATGCCTAACAACAGACTACCTCGTCGAGCTATATTTTCCGGTGTAGGAATAGGTTGGAAGAAATCTAGGGGCGGCCAGACCAGAACATGGCAGCAATCTATGAAGTCACTGACAAGTGGATTGAGTCATGTCGGTAGGTGTCGACTACCTGGTTGGGGTCCGCGAGATGTTAGTAATCGGTAGTTAGAGACCCTGAATGACATGGCTCAAAACCGTTTCCAATGACGCAGATGCATCCACTCTTTGTGTTCTCTCAAATCCCAAACTTCGTCACTTTATCTTTTTAAGTCTATTTCACCAGATTCTACTTCTTGAATAATATCTTCTTATCATAACCTCTCCGACTACTGCTAATACCTTTACTACCTCTACTACTATGGGATTTGAATTGACAATTGCGTCTCTGCGCTAATGTGACATGGCAACTTAAACTGATTTGCGTACGTACGTGTTTTTTTCCACTTCAGTCGTGACTATTACAATACCGTATTGATTAGACTTGAAGATTTACAAGTTTGACTTTCGATTTTCTATGTCAAACTTAAAAACCTAAATAGTCTTTACCATTCATAACAAAAAGAATGAGCGATAAGAATACTTTCAATAAATAGTACATAGAAAGCTTAAAATAGTCAGGAAAAATTGTTTTCGTCATCACAAAGTCAATAAGTCAGTCAGTCAGTTACAACGTAGAACTTCGCACATACAACATACATCTTTAAGTAAAAATTCCAGTGTTCAGTGTATCTCAAGTGGTCAATTTATATTAACGCAAAATTCTTAAACCAATCTGCTTTGTTTTAATTCTCATTGAATAAACATATAGTACATTCATTGAAAAAATAATCAATGCTGAGCTTGTGAAACAAGAATGATCATATATCTGATGATAATGCTCACACATGACTTTCTCATATAATAATAATAATAATAATAATAGTTTTTCTATAACTTCATCTCATCAACTATTTTCAATGAATTTATTAGTCAAGATTTTGTAAGTGTTAGTTAAGTGATTTCCTATATTCATTGTCCTTATTCTCTTCTAACCTTTGTTTTTTTGTGTGTTGGATTTATACTACTTATTTATATTTAGTAAACAGTTTTGTCCGTGTAGTTATGGTCTAAGTGTATAAAAGTAACACCAACTATATTGTGATATCAAAACCATCTAAGGCAAGAGAAGAACCCAAGACATTGGCGGCGATCTATGCTCAAAAATAGTAGAAATATTAAGTAAGTGATGTTTTTTATAACTTCAACATCATTATCCGTCATTCGTATACTCATTTTGTTGAGTGGGATGTGTGGTTCGGCTTGAGTAGTGCCGGTGAAGGAGAACACAGGTGGGGCAACCGAATTGTATTTAACGAAAACTACAGGGTTACTCAGTAAAATTGGAAAACCATATCGTAAATCGTTAATTTGCAAATCTTCAATCCATCATCAATCCATTGTCTGACATTTCACTATTCATGCGTTTCATACAAATTCCATTGTGTTCCCACTCTTCCTTTCTTGATCTTCCCCATCTTCTGCTGCCAGACATTAAGTTGGCACTCACGTCATATACTACTTATAAGTAGCTCGCACCACACCGGTAGTAACATTCATTATGGATCATTCAACCATGCAAATGACTAAAATGGTTAGACTTAATCAGGAAGCACGTATAATTCACATGTATATATACACATCAATAATCAATAACTAAGAAGAACCATGAAAATCTATATTGGTATACACTTTAGTTCTTTCTTTCTTACTCTTTCTTCATTGAACACAATGTCCAAAACATCTTCCGTCGCGTGACCACGTAGAATAGCCAATACTAAACCAATCATTTTACGTATTTGATGCAACATAAATGATTGACCAGTAATACGTATAATGGTATATTGATGTTCACCAAGTAAAAATGTCGGCATACATTCAGCTGATATAATATAACGATTACAACTTTTATCTGTTGCAAGTCTTTCAATAGAATTAATCAAAAGAAAAATCTATACATCATGTTGAATATTATTAAAGAGAATAAGAAATTAAAAGAGAGGTGAAAAAAAAATAAAGATACGAATCATTGCAGTCTTGTACTTACTGAAAAAATGTTTAACATTATTCCTATATTGGATGGATAAAAGCAATCAGTAGGGAAGCATGATTCACCAAAACTTCGTGACAGTTGGTATTCCTTGAGAAACAGTAAGTGTAGTTTTATAGAACTAGAGATACTCGTGAGACAAGAGAGCGCGTCATGCGATATAACAGTCAGTTGCTTTATTACTCGACTATTCACATCCTTACTAGTCAATGTTTTTAATCTAAGCCATTACTGTGTATCGATTGTTATAGTGAAAGTCACGATGTATTCTGAGTGTGAATCAGGAGAAGCGAAATAAATGATTCGAAAATTTAGATATAACTGTTGATTAAATCAGTTTATAGTTAGCCAGTGAGTCAATTATAACGCAGAACTTCGTACGTACGTACATCAGTTCAAGCTGTAATGCCACAGCAGCACAGACTCAAGTGTCCATTCAAATCCCATAGCAGAGGTAGCAGAAGTAATAGCAGTAATCGAACAGAAGCATACTCTAGGTAAATACACATTTAAAAAGAAAAAGTATTGAAAAATTCAGAAAATTAGGATTTGAGAGAACACAAAGAGTGGATGCACGTGAGCCATTGCAAACGGTTTTCAGCCATGTCATTCAAGATCTCTAACCATCGATTACTATGATCTAGCGGACCCAAACCAGATAGTCTACACCTACCAACATGACTCAGTCCAATTTTCAGTGACTTCATAGATTTGTGCCATGTTTTGGTTTGACCGCCTTTGGCTTTCTTCCAACCAACTCCTACACCACACAAAAGCTCGTCGAGGTTGTCTGTGGTCGGGCATTCGTAACACGTCCCAATCACCTTAATAGATGAAGTATCAATACTTCATCTATTGATCTGCCATTCTTATCTAGTACTCGTTTCCTAACAACTGCACTGCTTACTTGATAGTCCATAGATAAACGAGCAATGCATCGGAGACACCTATGATCAAAAAACAGTAACCTACTTCTAACCTTCTTCTATTCTGACTGGCCATATTTCATGGCCATAAAGTAGGACGGAGCGAACTACTGCACAGTACACTCGCTTTTTGTTTGACAGACGGATATTTCACCTATGCCATAAATCACGCAACTTGGAAAAAGCCAATCGAGCCTTCTATATCCATCCTGAGATTCCGTCACACATCAAGCCATCGGCACTGATGAGACTACCCAGATAAGTGAGGCGGTCGACACCCTCAACTGCTTCACTCCCTATCAATAGTTCAGGTGCCGATGAAACCCAATCTTGAAGCAACATTTTGCATTTCGAGTGGGAAAACTGCATCCCAAACATGCTTGCATTGTTGCTTAGGGTAGTCCAGGTCTGAAACCAGCCTGGTTTTCTCTAGTCTGCTCTTCACGAGCTCTAGTTAGGCGTCGGAGTATTATAGAGGCCAATATTTTAGATACTATATTAGTTAAACTGATTCATCTCTGATTGTCACAAGAGGACTTTTGTCCTTTCTTATAGACAGGGACAACCAGTGATTGAGACCAATCAGATTTTATTATGCCCAGTTCTCAGATTCTACCTAAGATCTCAGTCAATCCAACGGCTAAAACTGGACCACCATCCTTAAAAATCTCAGGGGTGAGCCATTCAGGCCCTGCTGCTCTCCCTCGCTTCAGATTTGTTGTATTCGCAATTAACACAAATAACTATATTAGCATTTTGTCCACACTCAACAATATGAAATGAACTTGCCCTAAAAACCCACTACATATATCAGGACAGCTTAGGATATGAAAAATAACAGTGTAGTTTGCAGTTGGCCGGAATCTAATCGTAGGGAAACGACCTAGTAAGCTAAAGTATTTTTCTATCCAAACCACTGAAGTGAGTTTTGTCTATAAAAATGTTCAAATAGTCCAACACAGAGAAACAAATACAATAGATTACTTGCACATTTTACGTAGGAACTCCCACTCAACATCAACACCACACATCCACTAGTTATTTCATCATAAAGATATTTTTAAATCATGGTCGTATGAATATATCTAAATATAAATTTTCTCAAGTTATCCACATTTAGAGAACATGTCTCATTGAAACAGAGCAGAATGAAGTACTGTCATGTTGCATACTTGAATTTAAATTAGTATTCTCACACGTATCTCTAGGGTCATAACTCAGAACCATATCCTATACTCATGACTGTCTTCATTCCAATTTTCACATTAAGTGTTAAGTAAGACCAGTTACGGAGTCTGTTGCTTGCATATGCTGGGATCGCCGTGTGAACAATGCTATGGTTAGGCGTAGAGTACTAGTTAGACGTTACAAGTCTATTGAAGAAGTAGTGGATTTCCTTCCATCAACTAAGATGATTGAGACACGTGCTACATATGTTTAACCACCACCCAGTTTAATGGGCGATGTTGTCTAGTATAGGAAAAGGCTGTAAAAATAGCTGTATACAACAGTCAAACTAACATATGAAGACAGTTCTGGAATTCTCTAACAACTGAACTGTATGATCTAATTGACTCAAACTACATGACTAGAGTTTGCTTGATCACATTTATTCACCACTGATGATTTAATCTGTTAAGAAAAAATCCTTTTAAATATGCGATATGTACAAACAAAGGAAAGTGGTAAAATTTTATTAATCCTACAAAAATAATAACTTACCTGCCTGAAGTGAAATTATAAAAATTATGAGTACCAAGATATTTTTCAAGTAAACAATTAATTTTTGTAATTTGTTCAACTGTTAAACGATAAGTCCAACAATTAGAATCGTCTAATGATAGACGACTACTAGGTGATAAGGCGAATGTAGGCAAAAGATAATCATAAATTCGATGTGTACATGAATTGTGTGAAGAAAATGTACGCGTTACACGAATGATGTCTAAAAAGGTAAAGACAATATAACAATATATATATATTTACATGATTACGTAACACTGGCACTGGATACTTAGTAAGTTTATTATGTAGGTTCATGAAAAAATTCCTACCCGTTGTATAAAGGCTACACATTCAATACAGTAAATACCCTAATACGACTGATTCTAATAGGGATTCAAACCGTTTTCAAATGATTAGAACGTTACGAGTTTAACCCACTTGACCAATGTCTCCAATAAAATCTTGTCTTTTCTTAGTGAAATCTGTAAAAAGTAGATACGATGTATCTAAAATGACTTGACATTAGTATCGACGTGGATCCGAATATCGAACAAACTTTGTAGTGTGCTAACACGAAAGTAAACTGTATAGTATTAGCATCTGTCGTCTCAACATGACTCCCTGGATGGAGTTCTACAGGCAGTGATACCCAGTGAATTAAGACGCTGCTCAGAATAAAAACGAATAGAGGATTCTATTATCATTTCCTTTCATATTTCTCATAAAAGGTAGCGGTACTTTTTCAACTGTAGTGATCTTTCTGAATAGCATCTTCATAAAACTAATTTTGCTAACTACAATCAATTCTCATTCACCTATTTTCTATTCATTTGCTTAATTGATTATGCTCCCCGCCCTTCCATTATCTCTCTTCACAATCGATTTCCTCATTTGTGAGGCATATTTACTTAATCGCTCAGTTGTGTACTAGTTAGTTCAGTAATACTTAAGTTGGGAAATAAACGGTTTACGTCTTTCAGAAGAAAACTCAAGCAATTTAATTAAAAATTGAATAATATATATATATATATATATGTCCGTGAACTTACCGAGAATACGAATAGTTTCAGGTAGGGCTGTATTTAATTTATTTAACAAATCAGGATCGTTTCGTAACTTTGAGGTGGGGGGAGGGAGAAGAAAAATTTGTTGAATCAATGAATTAAAAAATAACCTACTTGCATTGAACAAACTTGTCCAAGAGCAGAAACAGACTTGTCAGTTTTAGATGCACGTTGAAAATGAACCTTAAGGTTGAATGGAAATAAATGGACGGTTGAAATGTTATTCAGATATAGCTACATGTACTATATATAATAGGATTATTGATTATTTAATGATAATCATAAGCATGTTCGATACTGTGTGGTGTGAGCTACTTATAAGTAGTATATGACGTGAGTGTCAACGTAATGTCTGGCAGCAGAAGATGGGGGAAGATCAAGAAAGGAAGAAGAGTGGGAACACAATGGAATTTGTATGAAACGCATGAATAGTGACAATGGATTGATGTTTTGCAACAGGAACAGTCCAGTTCGATATGATGGACTGATAATTAGCAAATTAACGATTTACGATATGGTTTTCCGATTTTAATGAGTAACTCTGTAATTTTCGCTAAATACATTTCGGCTGCCCCACCTGTGTTCTCGTTCACTACAACTGTACACAATAATACTGTTTCAAACAGAAGCTCACTGAGTTGGAAGTAAATTTATTGAACTATAATAAACTTTTAAAGAAATAGGCTGTTCTATTATCATAAAGCACGAATAAAAGCAATCAAAATCCACTAATGTTCAATCATCAGATCAGTGAGAAAGTTACTGTCATATATTTTTATAATATCACTAATTTTGTGATAAACACGATGGGATAAATCTTTTTTTCATAACAGATACACATAATATCTCAAATAATTTAAATTCATTGACAGACAAGGCAGTTTAGTAGAAAACAGATTTAGTTTTCAGCCAATAAGTGTTAGGTTTGGACTATGACACTCCATTACTTTTGTTTGCGTAACTAAGTAGTATCCCCAAAAATTTTACATTATAGTATGAATGTATATGCATGATCTGTTTGAATTTTCACCTAACCTAAAACCGTTTCTTGTAATCAGTAATCCTTTAGACCACGTACAATATGAGATACCTAAATACTTCTAAACAGACGATTAGACATGTGGTTATAAATCAGTCATAAGCATATAAAATTACAAAGAGATTTTGTTGATGGGATGACAAACGCTATAATAAAGTAATATGTACTAGACGCAAATATACATTATGTACAAAACACTAAACACCAAACCATTAGGTCATAAATTTGATGCCTACTCCATTTACTTTGCACTAAACAACGAGGTAGAACTACTGGTTCATACCCAATAATGGTAACTCAATACTAAGTATATGAATCTCTACATGGTTGTTTAAATGCGACAAGTAGCTACAGGTTTACATCTTCAACAGATCACGTCTAAATTGTCTCACTGACTGATGCGAAATTTTATTTGGTGCCGGCTAGTTGAGAGAAGTTTGTGATAGTTTGGAACAGTAACACTGAATAAAAAAACAGTTGAGTTTATTTATCATTCACCGATGTACCCTGACGTTCCGGAGTATAAAACTAAGTAGGTCGAAAATTAGACAGATAGAGATCAAAGTTAAGGTTGTTTTCACATCTCTTAAGGACGTGCACAGTTCAAAGTGAAGTAACAAGTGATAAATATCGTTGAAGAAAAATCTTTCAAAAACGTTAAACAAAATTAAACAGATGTAAAACGAACTTCTTAGAACTGTAATCGAAAGCAATCTGTTTCACTCAAGTAAAAGATTAGCAGATATTATCACAAGGAAAATGAAACAATAAGTGTTAAATACACGCAAATGCTCAATTAAGATACAGTAAGCAATGATAAACTAAAGTACATCATGAGAGTTGTTACTGCTGATGAAGGCTAACTGATGCATTTCTAAATAACGACATATTGATAGTTGTTCTGAAAGAAACAATATCATTAATATATGAGTACTATTACTCGAAATATTCATGCATATTTAGATTTAAAAAATCACAACTTTTGTCAACAATTGTTAACTTACTTTTTTATGTTCTTCACCTGTCAGATTATCGAGCTGGCCACAAGTTAAGAGAGCTTTAGATAGTTCTCCTTCAATCGTTGGTAAAACAGGACATCTGAATGAAAGTGTATTCACACAAACACAAAAAAAAGAAAGATAACACTACTGAAATCCTAAATATATAGAATCCTCACAATTAGAAATTAAGATATAGTGTATGAAAATAGAGATTTTAAATATGCTGTTTAATACACAAACTACTCATAACGTTCAAAGGTGAACAAGCTATGTTGTTCAGTCAGCAACAAAGTAGAATCTGATGTGTACATTCATCAGTTCAAGTTGCCATACCAGACTAACACTGAGACAGAATTGTCAGTTCATAGTAGTATTAGCGGTAATAGGAGAGATTAGGTATCGAGAAGTATATTCCAGTGGAGTGGAATAAAATAGAAAAAAATTTAAGAGGAATTCAGACTATAATTTAATAAAGACAGAGAATGGATGCACCTGCGCTATTGTAAATGATTTTGTGCCAAGCCTTTCAGCCTCCAACATAGTTCTGTTATTAGTGGCTGTTACAAAAACATAAGTTAGAAAGAGAACTGCTGTCAAGTAATGTGGTCCTTCACTTAGCAGACAAACATCTCAACTGCACCACAATTTACGGAAGCTAGCGAGAGATAATCGAGCTTTTAGAAACCATGTCAAGAAACCGCGAGAAACTGACTAAGTATGGGTGATTAGAATGATGCTGGTCTTACGTGGCTAGGTCGACTGACTAGACCAATCCGATTATTCCATTATAAGAAAATCTATCAATATGGACACCTAGAGGCTTTTATTTACTGTTTGGTGACAGACCAACTATACAAAGTTCTTTAGTTTTAACGGCTTGATTAGCATAGCTGCTCATGTAATGGAATCACACAACACGTGTTTTTTTGCTCCCAAGGACTCTTCATCTCTCATGAAACAAGTTTGGTTGATCTACCTCCAGTCGTTTCGTGTCTTTATTTATCGAAATTCTAAATCCTCATTTTTTATATAAATTCTATACATCGTAAATGTATTTACCATTGCGGACATTTTTCACGGGAACTATGCATGAATACTGTGCCCTATTTGGCGAGTAAAGATGTTTATGACGGAAGAGTTATTGTTACGTACCACAAGATATGAGATGACATCGATGGTGCTTGACAATTGTCATGTTTTCGTTAGATGTGTATGTAAATATTTTTACGGAAGTTTCAGTCAGTGGAACATATTAAGGGCACGTTAGTTGTTAACGAATATGTTTGTGTGCAAATATATTAAACTAGCTATAATCACGAAATATAAAAATGGAGAGTACACCAGATTATCAACTAACCTTTGCATACCGTAATAACCCCAACCTGAATACATTAACAAAATGGCATTGTTTTTACGTTTGTGTCTGACAGAATCACTAGGAGAATCGGAAACTGAATTATCAAAAGGTTTTGAGGATGGTTGTTTCAAAATGGTAACTTCAGAAGACTTCAAGATCGACATTAAAGAAAGGAAAAAGTCAGTGATACGGCTTGTCAGTCTTCTCATAAAACCTCGCACAATATACTATCAGTCTCTCAAACCAAGCTCTTTCTCCCGTTTTTCTTTAAAAATAAGAGCTTTTGCGTATTCTTGTTGTTGTTGCTTGATTGTAGGCCGTTTAAATATATAATATTCAGCTAATGAAACAATTGTGTAGCCTGTGAGGGCTACACCAGACATGAAGCAAAATATAACTATACTACGGTGAGCAGTATCAAGAAAACGGTTTAGTCTGCTTCTTTGATAAGTCTTCTTTAGCATAATATTACAAGAACCATGCAGTAGGCAATATTTGAAAACCTCCTCTCAAGTTCAATGTCCATTACACTAACTCTTTTTCACCAGATAGAATGGAAAAACTGATTCTTAATGCTCGATTCTTATTGCTTCGGTACGTTTCCAGGTACATTTTGATGTCCGATTGATGGTAATTTAGATACTTGACTGCACTAGTTCCAGTTATGAATTTGTGTGTCAAGTGATTTGAATAAGTGCGTTTCTCTAAGGGCAGTAGGGATTCTGGATACCAACAGCTATCACATTACCAGGCCGGAGACTATGGATAATAATAACAAGAAAACTGTAATGCGCAAACTCTTGAGGAAAAGAAGTGTTCACGAACCTGGGTGTTGGCTCTTTCATGTGCAATTTTTGAGGGTGGTGAGATTTTCGCAAGATGCTTTTATTGGGATGATTCGCCGTACCTACCTTGTTGGACGCCATTATCACATCACCTATGATTCTGCCATAACTCAGAAAGAGTAATCTCAAGTGTCGGAGTCTAGATTTTTAAGGGCTTACCCCAGCCTTTCAACAGATCAGTTATTCAGTTCTTCCCGAATTATTCACATGCCCATCGACCTTCCCGACCATCCGCTTATATCTTGATTGTTTTTAATCGAGTATGTGCCACTTACTTCGTCTACTATATGTCAAACCTATAACTGCCTGATCATAAATGGCATTGAGTTGGCCCACTTACGATCCCCAAATGGCTTGGCCCTGCTCGCACACTTTACATCCTCATGTCTGATAGCTTAATGAACGCCCGAAATAAATTGATCCGCATAAGTCTTCTTATTACAGCCATCGCACAAACGGGATTCGCCAAAGTATGATGTGCGGAAACTGAAAGGAAGTTTTATTACTCATCAAATTTATGCGTCCGAACGAGCAGGTGTCAGATCAGGGTCCACCAAAGTTTTGAGCCCTACTTCAAACCCAACTTGCTCATCTCTGTACTCGATGCAGCAGGTTTATATCTCTTTTAAGGAAGGGGGATGCCACAACAATGTCTCCATGTGTATGGTTCGAAGAAATTCAGGAAGAGTTGCAGAGCGACTGCACCAAGTTGTTTTCACATAAAGTGAATAGTTGCTTTGACCTTGAATGTGTCCTGTACGCTGTTTGGAGTAGTGTTTAGGCTTTCTGCATTTATTAGACTGAGATCGCGCTCTGAGGTAACATTTAAGAAGGTAACATTTAAGGTTGTTTGTGTCAAGTGGGGTAGAATGTTGAGAACGAGACATTTCAGCTGGTTAAGTTTTAACCCGTTGTATTATGACCATTCCTCAAATGATGTAAGATCTTTTGAAGCTCATCTGAATCCTCCTCACTTCTTGTGGAGCTAATTTTATCTAGCATTTCATTAACAAATATTAGCTAGAGGAGTGGACCTAGGATCGTCCTTTGTGAAACGCCTGATGTCTTAACTCGCCAGTTCTCATGCACTTTATTTCCCTCGACACGAAACTTCCTGTTCACAAGGTAGTTTCTGAACCCGAATAGAAGTGAACCAATGAAGTTCATCTTCGTAGCCCCCACAGTTAGGAGTACGTACTAGTTCGAAAGCATTTGTGAAGTCAAGGAATATTATATGAACCGGTATTTTTCTGTTGCAGCATGTTATCCAGTAGTCCTATGCCCTGAGAAGTTTGGATGTACATGACCTACCTTTCCTAAACCCGTGTCGAGCTTCAAGATGGACATTGGTGTTGTCCAAATGCTCCCTCACTTGCTCATTCACTGGTCCTTCCATTACCTTTGACACTAGTGGTTGTAATGAGACTGGTCTTTTACTGGCTGAATCCTCCCTATTTCATCCTTTAATTATTGAAGACAGAGTAGATTGTTTCCGTCCAGCTGGTAGTTGGTGTGAATCGAGTGAATGCCTGAACAGGTTACATACAGATGAACTGAGGGCTTTGATACACCGTTTCATCACTACCAAATACCTTGAACTGCAACGAAACACCAAAACCAGGCACAGAGAAATCAATCGATTCATACTACCCTTTGAAAAAAATATTGGAAATCGGAAGACTAGGAAATCGTCACATCCTGATGTTTTCTTGGGTGCGGTGATTTTAGTTTTCTCAGTAATATGTCAGGAGTGCATTGGATGTTCCCTGGGACATCAGCTGCCACTGTGTTTGACTAGTATGCCGAACCGTTGGGTGGCTAGTCTAACTGATCAGTGAAGTTGGTGTTGAAGATTTCATTTATTTCTAAGTGGATGAGATCTTGGCCATTTGGACCTCTGAAAACGCAAACACCGTGGTTCGTATGTTTTCTTTTTGTCATGAACACAAACAGATATTTCGGATTTGCATGAAATTTGACAGCTAGTTTCGTATCGAAGTATCTTCCATCTCTTCGAACTTTGGCATTGCATCCGTTTCTCAATGCCAAGTATAAAATATGGTTAGAACCCTTCAGAGAGACTTTTCACCGACACAAGACTCTACTTTTCAACCGTAGCAGGTGTTCAGTGCATTGCTTAACCAAGTTTTTCGATTTCCTGGTGTGTGGTGTACCTGAAGTACATTGTTTGGGACAGCATTCTAGATTAGGTTTCTCACAGTTTACCAGTGATCATCTATCATTAGCTTCAACCGTTCCCGTGGCCATGGGACAAGAAGAAGATGCCCTTTCATGCTAGTGCAATTTTCCCTAGTGTAGCAAAGAGAGGGGTCATTTTCGTCCCGCCAGAATGATTCGCTTATGACAACGTAAAACATGACTGTGACATGGTCAGTACATCCTGTTGGTGTATGGACGTAAATGTCCTCGGACAGCAGCTGATCATTTGTTCAAAAATAATGCAAGTTTGTGGATTTTCACTCCTTAGTGGCGCTACGTACATGCTGAGTCAGTCCGGAACTTTCAATGGCTGCACCAAGTCGCCTGAGGAACCCACCTGAGGCACTGTTTACTGAGATTTAGAGATGAAATGTTTAAGTCTGCAGCTAACAGTATTTGATCAAACCCAATGAGTAGGAGTTGCAGTATCGCCCCAGTTATTTTATCTTTCTGAAAAAATTACATTAGGGGGGCTAGTAAATACCTACAATCAAGTATTTCGTGTCACTTGTATGGGAACTGCACCAATATGATTATGTTAACTTGGTTAGTTGGGTGCCGTGTAGTTTTTCGGCTTTGAAATGGCCGTTAATATACTTAGTCACTCCGCTTCCTGTCTGGTGTATCTTGTCGCATCGGAAGAGTGTAACGCCTTGCAAGCTTACTTCTTCGTTTGCAGTGTCAGGGAATAGCCATGTTCCTGTTAGGATTATGATCTTCAGATGCACCTGAGAGCATATATTCCTGATTTCTAGCATCTTGCTCCTCAGTCCTATTACGATGCTACAGGGCTACTTGATGGTTTGTTTCATCACCTGTGGCACCTCTGCAGCAACGGCTGTTGTCGGATTTTCAGACAACTGTGCAGTACATTCAAACTGTGAGACTGTGATCTTCGTGCCTTATAACGTGTGTTGTTGATCGAGGTCAGCTATCACTATTGTCTGCTCCTGTCGTTGTCTCACAGATCTAGGTTGGCTCGCACAACGCCCAATGTGACTAGAGAGATTGTTATTCATGCTGAACGAAAACTGAAGTGCCTCAGTTAGGTCTTCACGATTTCTGAATTTTACACCAATCAGGGGCGGAGACTTAATTGTGAAGAGATGCGACGGACGAGACAACTAGGAGACACTATTTGCCGTTGTGTTGTGAAGGCGCACGCTACGTGATATACACCTCCACAGCGTTGCACGTGAACGGGAGGGCTTCACCCAAGCAACCATCAACCAGCTCAGGCACTCCATGAACCACCATATCAGTTTATTTTAGGGTTTCTTTGAGTGTTCTAGAAGCTGGTCATACTGACGGTGGCTTCCCATGTTTGACTAGAATTGGACAATTTAAATTAGGGCCTTTGGGATATTAGGTGCTGAGTCTAAAGTTACCGTCCACGTTGTTGGTTTCCCATTAGCTAAATTATGACCGTTCAACAAACGGAAACGTTTTAATGGGCTACTTATTCTAAGCACTGTGAAATATTTGCCCCACTGTTCCTTATCAAAGACATCCCTAATTTCCAGTAAGCTTCCCTCTGACACTGGATCATCAAATAAAATTAGTGCATTTTGCCTAATGTCCCTGACCATGAATTGTAGCGTTTTCGCAGTTGCAGTGTCGCTGCTTTTTCTTATGCTCATCCACTGCTCCGTACGTTTAGCGGATAATGAGGAGTTCGCAGCAACCGATATTTTAATTGACGGATTGGCTTGGATTGAATATACTTTTGTCTTCCGTCTGGTCGGATTTCAGCCGAATGATATACAGATGCCTGCTTACCAACTTATCTCTTTACTCACTAATCTTTGAACATTATTTCAACTCTGTTTTTCTTTCTTTAGCTCCCTATCCTTCCTATCTCCAAACTGCCCATTAACTGACACATATCTTACAAATTATACCATTAGTTTACTTAAAAGCAGTGTGATATGCTACGTGGATACAGAGGCCGAAGTTGTTTGGTTTGTTCGTAAAGTGGAGCTGGTAGAGAAAGTGTATTCCGACAAGGTGTACAGGAATAGAGCATATACTGAAAAACGTGTTTTAAAATCTACCATTAAACGTAAGAGAGCCTAACACCAAAAAAGTAGGGAGGGCGGTATATCTAACCAGCATTCATGACAGTGGGGCGATTGCCTCAATCTACTCATGTCTGTGGGGCAGAACATTTTGTTTGCTTACCACTCGTCACGATACGGCAGGATGTAACAAATCAGTGATGCTGAAGTTACTTTTCATTATTATCCACATATACGACTCATATGGACGAAGAGTCAAGTGGCCGCAAAGATATATAGCTACGATTTTGAACTGATACTTCCTCTTGCCATTTCGGACACAAATTTTATTTTTGCTTCCCATCTGAACGTCAAAATTCTAACTTATCTATTATTACCTTCAATACATTTTATGTATTTCGGAATTGGGATGTAACCGAAAAACATTGCTATACTTTTGTTTGATCTTCTGTTCCTTCGCGACCTCACGAACGTATGCGAGTAGGATAACTTTAACTTTCGGAACTTTTGATGTTTTCCGACAATTTTGATTATTTTTCTGCAAACACGGACACTTTCGTATCCTTGTTTGTCGGAACGGGGCTATTGTAGTGCCTCCACATATATTTGAATTCGCTTACATTTAATTTGGTCAAGCCTTTCGATTGATTTATGTAACCAAGCCATTTGTACAACAATAACTTGTATGTACCATTGGCTTTTATTATTGTGTGGTTTGTATGAGCTGGTATGACTGAGCATTGCTTACCGCCTACGCGCATATGCATCCTATTCGCTCTACTATTGATCTCTTAAATATCACAATGACTCAGACGTTTTCCTTTGTATATATACGAACATTTTAATCCTGTTAATTCACAGGCACATTCGCCCATTCACTCGCTAGTGTGCCTGCCCGGTCTGCTATTCCTATTTGTGGTGTGCCCAAATAAACGTATTCAACACTTGGAGTTTACATTCTGATTTATAAACTGTCAGACGCTGTTTAGCAACGATTGTCTGGACGAGCTAATTACGAAGATTAAGAACACGTCGAAATTGATCACCACACGTTACCTTTGAAATGTGGTCCCGGCGATATGGAGATTTATTTAAATTTAATTTCGCCGACCAAGATGATGAATTGACGGCTTGACTGCTACTTCGAAAGTTAGGTGCTAATGAGCTGGACAAGTACTGCAATTTGATCCTGCCTTTGAACCCACGAGATTGTTGACTTTCTGAGACAGTTCAGACATTGAGCCAACACTTTGGCGACAACTCGTCACTGTTTTGATACTCGTTATCGATGTTTGAAGCTAGTTATGAACGAAGATGATTTTCTTACGCACGTGAGCATAGTCAACCGTGAATGCAAACGCTTTCGGTTAAAGTTTTTGTCTGAAGATCAGGTTAAATCCCTCATAATCATCTGAAGCATCCAGTCTCATAAGTTCAGTGACATTAGAAAAAGGCTACTATTTCGATTAGAGCAAGATCCGATGCTCACGCTTAATGACATGGCTAATGAGTATCAACGTCTCATTAACCTATAACGAGACTCAACTATAGTGCAGAGTGATAGTTCAAGCCAATCTGAAGTTCATTTGGCAAATCAGCTACCTAGTCAGAATAAATCTGCCCATGCTACACCCAGTTCATCCCACTCCACCTCAGCCCAAAAGTCGAAAATGAATCTCCCTGCCGCTTGCTGTCACTGCAGCTCATGGCACTATGTACGAAACTGCCCATTTAGGCAGCATAGATGCAGGAAGTATAAAGTCATCGGTCATAAAATGGCTTTTGCATACAGGAAAAGCCTAACCGATTCAGAAGTGCTAAGAAGCCTGTGTAGAATCTATTTTGAAGGTTTTGTTTTTGGAAAATCCCTCCATGTATATATACTTGCGTTATGATATGACTGACTCCTTCTGTTGATGTTTTTGGTACTCTATTTGATTCCATTTTGAGATTTTATCATTGTATATTGTTATTATTTCTATATTTTGTACTTATATTGAAGTTTTTATGTTTGCTTCTGAACTGTACATATGTTGTTTAAATTTGATATTTAATATGGCTATAGCCATATTCGGATTTGATACTCTAGCAGTAACGGACTGGAAGAACTTATTCTTCCAGAAACGGAACCTATCGTAGTAAACTCGAAGGTGTAACATTGTTTTTGGTAATTGTCTGTATTTCCCTTTTTATCGTTTAACAGAACCGTTTTCTCCCAGAATTATCGTGTTTTGGTCCCGGACTGGGTGAAACGCGTACAAACCTGCACCTGGCGATTTAAAGGTAAACTGCAAGAGTAATAATTCCGTTACAGCCTGCTCCTAGATCCAGTACCAATGCATTGAGCCTAATATCTTCCTGCCAAAGCTCATCACCAGATGAGAGGAAATTTATTACTCTTAATATTAACGGGCATTTGTGTAGATTGCAAACTGATTCCGCATCTGATGTCACTATCCTCTCACGCAAAAATTGGACCAAATTGGGTAGCCCAAGCCTGCAGCACACAACACAAAAGCCTCGTACAGCATGTGGTAATTACCTTCTTCTGTTAGGACAATTGGAATGTAAAGTTGCTTTCCGAGATTCTTCGTTTACTGGGGTATGCTATATAACGCCAGCTGATCTAAATTTACTTGGTTTAGTTTGGTTCGACTAGCTAAAATTGGCTGATGTCCCGTTAAATACCATGTGCCACCTGGTATCACAACGACATGACCCAGAAGCGTATACGAAGAAGCTGATGACAGAGTTTTCAACCATTTTTGAACCTGGATTAGGTCGGTGCACTGCTATGAAAGCAACACTTCGGTTGAAACATGGGGCTAACCCTGCTCTCCGTCCAAAGAGACCCATACCTTATGCAACAGTAGATGAAAAGTTGGATCGCCTTCAACGACAAGGAGTTACTACTACCGTTTCTTACCCTACTTGGGCAGCACCTAAAGTCGTTATCAAGAAGGCCAACTGCACGACACGTATATGTGCTGACTTATCTACAGGTCTCAATGCAGTTCTGGAACAGCATCATTATCCTCTGTTTACTATGCTGAATGAGGGAAAGCTTTTCGCAAAGCTGGATCTAGCTGATGCCTAGCTTATTTGGGAGTGGAAGTAGGTGAAGCATCAAAAGAGCTGCTTACTATGAATACCCATCGTGGTTTGTTCCAGTACAACTGTCTGCCTTTTGGAGTTAAGACTGCCCTATCCATCTTCCAACAACTAATGGATACTATCCTATCAGATATCTTAGGGGTTGCAGCTTATCTCGAAGAGGCCCTCGTGTTTGCTGTTCGCCGTTTCCACAAGTTTCTGTACGGTCGGAGATTCGCGCCCCTGACAGATCACAAGCCTCTGTTAGCAGTATTCGTTTCTGAATCTGACATTCCAGCCCCTTCTGCAAACCTTCTTCAGCGTTCCGCCTTGGTGCTTTTGGGCTATGATTTCGAAATCCAATATCGACGCACTCTACAATTCGGTCAGGCAGACGCTTTGTCACGACTCATTAACGATCAAGTGGCGGCTGAGTAAAACATTGTGATCGCATCTCTGTCAGTGGAAGACCACGCGGAATGTTATATGACAACCACAATTCGCGCATTACTGGTATCTGCAACAGACATACAAAATGCTTCTAGAAACGACTCCGTCATCAAGATGAAATATGTCACTAACGGTTGGCCGTCGAAGAAGTTTGATGGTGAAATTAAGCAACTGTATCAGTGGCGGGAGTCACTATGCATCGTGAACGATTGTTTGGTGAAAGAGTAGTGGTGCCAAAATCCCTTCGTGCAAAACTGCTGAGACAGTTCCATCTCGGTCATCCTGGGGGTAGACGAATGAAGTCCATAACCAGGAGTTATGTATACTGGCCAACATGTCACAGCGTTGGTTGTATGCGCGTTTCGGAGACGCAGCACACATCGATAGCGTGCGATTCTGAAGTTCTAGTTAATGATGCCTGTTGCCCTATTTGACAAAATGTCCGTACGTTAAATGCTCCAACATTTAGTTTAGAACGGGGCTTCAAGAAGCCAGGAATAACGTTTCGAGGACTCGAGTCGTTTGCAGCAGAGGTGCGCGGAGATAAAGGAATGTGAGAAGAGTTAGTCGTGGAGATAAGAGAGATATCAGGTGGTGTAGGAAGGATTTGATTGTGACCAATTCGGTCTCGTGTGCTGTTACGGGTATGAGGGCGTTGTCACTTCCCGGCTGCCCATACCCTGGAAAGGTGTTTCTTGAGGAACCTGAAAAACAAGGTGAATTAGAGTTGGTCTTAGAGACCTGAGAGCGTGACCGTAGAGTCCAAGGGACAACTGCTTGAGGCCGGTTACGCACAGCCTTTTTATTAAAGGTTTTTTGAGTGTTAGCTCCGCTCTTGAAAGCCCATAGTGGGCACCCTTACCGACAGAGACGGAAATCCATAAGGTAGGGTGAGGTGTGACATTTTTAGGATCGACCTTTTCTAACCCTTCCTTCCTTGTGAAAAGGTAGCATCGCGGCAGATGCTGGTTGTCCGAGGGAAACACCTTACTGCTGTCACACCACTCTGCAGTAGTCAGCAGTACGACTTCGCCCTCAGACCTTGAGTAGCTGCTTTTAGTCTCATCGTTCTCCAATCGACCTGGCTGACATGGTAGAACCTTCAGGAATATATGTTCCAGCCAGTATACCTCGGTTGGATCATCACGATAGGCAAGTCCGACCACCACGTCAAGGTAACAGCTACGGTCGGGGACTAGAGGCTCAACATTTACTGTGATAATAATAATATGCATGAAACAGACATTTACTCGCCAACATATCGATCGATGCAAATGTGACTGACTGAACACACACACCAGTGGAAATCACGCAACAATGTTTATACTATGAGAATGATTTTCATTACCATAGAAAAACAAAATATACACATGAATTTATAATAATTTCCAAATTCACAAAACAATAATGATGAAAGAAAAAGACATATTAGAAAGTTTCTTCCAGATCACTCTACTTACTTACTTACCTAATGATAATGATAATAATAACAACTATCACAGACAATATTAGAAATTTACTAAGTTTCGAAATAAAAGAAAACAATTTTCCCAAAATAAAATGTTCACAAAAAAAACAGAGACAATTGAAAAGTACCAAAAAAGAGACATAAATATAATAAATTAATGAACACAGTTCATAATAAACGAAGTACATACACGCACACACACACACACGCACGGACATATGTGAATGACACGGGTGTGTGTAATGAATGCGGAATTTAAGTGGGGGGCGATACCGTGGAATGGTCATGATCAGCGCGTACAACACTTTAGTATTCAGGTATAACTAACTCTTAAGCATCTGTAACTTGACCAGTCTTTTTCGATAGTGTATCTGGATTACCAATTGGTCCAAGATCGGAAAACAAGTTTAACCAAGCGTCTAAATTTGTTGGCTATTAGAAAATTACAATTTGTAAACAAAAAAAAATGGTGAAGAGAATCATTTTACTGGTTATTATGGCAAAATGGATACCAGTAATAACTATTAAAACTGTACTGGTTAAAATAAGATCATACAAATTAACCAACCTTGTCACTAGTAATTCACATGGAACGCGTTAGATTTTGTGCGGACAAAAGAAAAAGTATCGAAAACGTAGAATATAGGGTTACTTGAAAATTACCACAGACGTGAATTACCGACCTGTTTAGAGAATTGACGAGTCTGATGCGAGTTAATTAGTACTTTTTATAACTAGGTAGATTATCAAAAAAGCTGTGGCTTTAAAAAAATTATTATCTATACTTTGATTCGGGTTATTATATTCTTGTATTCTCCTCCATGCAACCTCCCGACCGAAGCTGCTACCTTGACGTGGTGGTCGGGCTTGCCTATCGTGATGACCCAACCGAGCTATACTGGCTGGAACATATGTTCCTGCAGGTCCTACCATGCCAGGCTGGTCGATTGGAGAACGATGAGACTAAAAGCAGCTACCCAAGGTCTGAGGGCGAAGTCGTACTGCTGACTGCAGAGGGGTGTGACAGCAGTAAGGTGTTTCCCTCGGACAACCAGCATCTGCAGCGATGCTGCCTTCTCACAAGGAAGGAAGGGTTAGAAAAGGTCGGCCCTAAAAATGTCACACTCCCCCTAACTCACGGATTTCCGTCTCCCTGGGTAAGGGTGCCCACTGGGCCTTTAAGAACGGAGCTAATCCTCAAAATACCTTTCATAAAAAGGCCGTGCGTGACCGGCCTCAAGCAGTTGTCCCTTGGACTCTGCGGTCACGCACCAACACTAATCCATTTTCCTTTTCAGGTCCCTCAAGAAACAACCTTCCACGGTGTGGGCAGCCGGGAAGTGACAACCGCCCTCATACCCGTACCAGCACGCGAGACCAAATTGGTCAAAATCAAATCCTCCCTACACCCCCTAATGTCTCTCTTATCTCTACGACTAACTCTACTCACACTCCCTTTTCTCACTGCACCGCTAATGCAGACGAAGTGAGATCACGAAACGTCGTTCCTGGTCTCTTGAAACCCCGTTCTAGACTACATATTGGAGCTTTTAATGTACGGACATTGTGTCAAATAGGGCAACAGGCATCATTAGCTAGGACTTTAGAATCTCGTGCCATCGATGTATGCTGCGTCTCGGAAACGCGCATACAGGATCCTAGTAAAGTCATTAACCTGATTTCACCTTGTCAAAACGTAGAAGCAGCTCGATTTACTCTTCGTGTATCCGGTAGCCCTGATGCTGCTTCCAGCGGTCTTGCTGGGGTAGGCATAGCGTTGAGTCCTAGGGCAGAATTATCTCTCCTAGACTGGATCCCAGTAGATAGTCGTTTGTGCGCTGTCCGACTAAACGGTACAGTAAGGACTCGTAAGGATAGGGACACTCGCCGTTGCCTCTTCGTCATATCTGCCTATGCCCCCACTGACTGCAGTGCAGACGAGGTTAAAGATGAGTTTTACAGAAAGCTTTCGGACCTCCTCCAAAAAGCTAGGCGCTCTGATATAGTAATAATGGCTGGTGACTTTAATGCTCAAGTAGGTAGACTAGGTGAAAAGGAAAGACATCTTGGTGGATGTTATGGTGTAGCGACTGAGAGAACAGACAATGGAGACCGTCTGTTGCAACTATGCTCAGATAACCGCCTATTCTTAGCGAACACCAACTTTAGGCATAAGGAAAAGCATCTGCTGACCTGGCGACCTCCAAAGTCGTCTCAACGTTGGACTCAACTAGATCACATCGCCATCAGTCACCGATGGAGGGGTTCGATAGAAGACTGTCGCTCGTTCTGGGGCACATGTTTGGATTCAGATCATGCTCTAGTGCGAGCTCGTATCTGTTTAAGGCTTACTGGGCGTAGGAAAGACACCGTAAGAAAGCCTCTCAGGGTTTTACTTAATGATAATCAAACCAAGAAAATATTTCAGGAGGAACTGGAAAGAGAGTTATGCAACGATGTAAGTGATTCCCATCCAGAAGCAGGTTGGTATGATATCAAAAAGGCTGTGGAAACAGCAGTGATATCTGCTAGTAAGGTAAACCATAAGGCTAGGATGAAGCCGTGGATATCAGTCGCATCCACCGAACTGATGGATGCTCGAAAACGCATCCCACCTGACTCTGAGCATGATGAAGAGCGTAGTCAGCTTAGGCGTAGACTTATAAAAAGTCTGCGTAACGACCGCGAACAGTGGTGGGTGGCGAAAGCAAAAGCGATGGAAAAGGCAGCGGCGATAGGCAACACTAGACAACTTTTCCGCCTTATTAAAGAAACTGGTATTAGGAACCCGAATGTGAGTGAGACTATCTCGGAAAAGGATGGTCTTATTATCCATTCTCAATCCAGGAGACTGGATCGATGGGCAGAACACTTTAGGGATCAGTTCAACTGGCCACGAGCCACTCTTCGGTTACCCAGGATCTCCAGTCATCCTGAATGGCAAATCGACCTAAGTCCCCCTAGTCTTGATGACGTTGAGAAAGCGTTAGGAAATCTGAGACGAGGACGAGCTGCAGGTCCTGATAGACTGACCCCTGAGATATTTAAGGATGGTGGTCCAGTTTTAGCAGCTAGGTTGACTGAGATCTTAGGTAGGATCTGGGAACTGGACGTAATCCCATCCCACTGGTCTCAATCACTGATTGTCCCAATCTATAAGAAAGGACAGAAGTCTTCTTGTGACAATCACAGGGGAATAAGTCTAACTAATATAGTATCTAAAATATTGGCCTCAATAATACTTCGACGCTTAACGAAAGCTCGTGAAGAGCAGACTCGAGAAAACCAGGCTGGTTTTCGACCTGGACGTGGTTGTATAGACCACGTCTTCACACTCAGACAGGTCCTGGAACATAGACACACATTTAGGCGTCCTACAATAGTTGTTTTCCTAGACCTTAAGGCGGCATTTGACTCTGTTGATCGTAAGGTTCTGTGGCAGTGTCTGTCATTGAAAGGTGTACCACAGAAGTACATTAACCTTATACAAGCTCTTTACTCGAACACCACTGGTCGAGTGAGGGCTTATGGCGAACTGTCACCGGAATTCTCTACATCAAGTGGTGTCCGTCAGGGATGTCCACTTTCTCCATTCTTGTTTAATTTTATCATAGACATGCTCCTAGACATAACGTTATCCTCGTCTGAATTTTCAGGAGTAGAACTTCTACCAGGTGGCTCGCTGATTGACTTAGAATATGCCGATGACATTGTCCTACTTGGTGAAGACGCTGACAAAATGCAGAGTCTTCTGACTACCCTAAGCAACAATGCAAGCATGTTCGGGTTGCGATTTTCCCCCTCGAAATGCAAAATGTTGCTTCAAGATTGGGTTGCATCGGCACCTGAACTAGTGATAGGGAGTGAAGTAGTCGAACGTGTAGACCGCTTCACTTATCTTGGGAGTCTCATCAGTGCCGATGGCCTGGTGACTGACGAAATCTCAGCACGGATACAGAAGGCTCGATTGGCTTTTGCCAACCTGCGTCACTTATGGCGTAGGCGAGATATCCGTTTGCTGACTAAAGGACGAGTGTACTGCGCAGTAGTTCGCTCCGTCTTACTTTATGGCTGTGAAACATGGCCAGTGAGAGTAGAAGATATTCGTAGGTTAATGGTTTTCGATCATAGGTGTCTTCGAAGCATTGCTCGTATATCGTGGGACACCCGAGTGAGCAACGCTGTTATTAGGAATCGGGTGCTAGGTAAGAATGGCAGATCAATCGATGAAGTATTGAAACTTCATCAGTTGAGGTGGTTGGGACATGTGTTGCGTATGCCCAACCACCGGCTGACTCGTCGAGCCTTGTTTTGTAGTGTAGGAATAGGTTGGAAGAAAGTTAGAGGCGGCCAAACCAAAACATGGCAGAAATCCATGAAGTCATTGACTAGTGGACTGAGCCATGTTGGTAATTGTCGACTACCTGGTTGGGGTCCGCGAGATGATAATAATCGATGGTTAGAGACCTTAAATGACATGGCTCAAAATCGTTCGCAATGGCGCCGGTGCATTTATTCTCTGTGTTCTCTCAAATCCTAATCTTTTGGATTCTTCAACACCTCTAGTTTCGACTCTCTAAACTTATCTCACTGAATCATACTTCTTGAATAATATCTAATCCTAACCTCTCCGATTATTTCTAATTCCCTTACTACCTCTTCTACTATTGGATTTGAATTGACGATTACTTCTCTGTGCTGATGTGGTATGGCAACATGAACTGATGTACTTATGTACAAAGTTCTACGTTGCATCTGACTGACTGACTCCATGCAACCTATCGTTTGGCGCAAAACCACAACTGTATGTTTTAACTCTCATGACTTATTGTTGATTGGTAGTAGACTGATTATTTAGTTTTCTCCTATTTATAACACGGTTATGCACACACTGCAGTTTCTTACCTACCATGATGTGTGTAATCTGGATATTACCCTGTTTTGTTGTATGGGTTTTCAGTTAACTAATACTGTACGACGGTGAGTAAATGTGTTTGCCAACTTCGTCTTCTGATAGGATGCTGAGTCGGAAGAAACTCAAAGATCAATTAGGCGTTAGAGCTTCGGTTATTACTAAGTAGTCGCTTTAGCGTTAGCGAATTATGTTATCGATCTAGAAGTCATAAAGCGTATACAATCAAAACAGTATCGAATAGACTGCTTCCATCCTTTTATAACACCGTGATAACAAAAACGTCAATACGATGCAAGTACCCGTCTCTTTTGAATACTTAGCACTAATTAACATGTTTTTTAATGTGTTAACTAGAACCGAGGTGATAAGTTTGTTAACATTAAAATAAATTTACTTAGAATAGAAGCTATTCTCAAAATTCTTTTGAGATCATAGTCATTATGAAATATAGCAGTGATTCGACATACAAACTCATTGGTCAACTACAACAACAACTGAAATGATAACACCAATAACAAAAAAATACTGTATGGCTGTTTCAATTCAGTATAGGACTACTCAGGAATGGACACCTGAGACGCTAAAATGAATCGAACCATGTACTTAACCCATTAAGTCAGTCAGTCAGATGCAACGTAGGACTTCGTACGTAAGTACATCAGTTCACGTTGCCATACCACATTAGCACAGACACGCAACTGTCAATTCAAATCACATAGTGGTAGAGATAGTAGGAGTACTACTGGTAAAGGAGAAGATTAGGGTTCCAAGATATTATTGAAGAAGTATAATTCAGTGAGATAAGTTTAGAAAGACAAAGGTAGAGGTGCTCATGAACCCAAGAAGATTAGGATTTCAGAGAACACAACGAATGGATGCACCTGCGCCATTGCAAACGATTTTGAGCCATGTCTTTCAACTCATTCTGGTATACAAGTTGAAATGTCAAGTAAATATTGTAGCATACCGGTAATGAGAGTTCACTATTATTCTTTTCTTACGAATAAAAGTATATCGATTAGCTTAAACATACTAACAAGGGAACACATTTCGGAAAATTAGTAATTAAGGCTCATAGATAGGTTTTAATTATTGATCAAACAGTAAGTGATTTTATAACTAATTCCCCTCCAATCGGCTAGGACATTTATCACGCTCATTTTGTTTATTTAAAAAGTATTACTTTATATGACTAGTGGTTTGGTCTTCAAATTTTCAATCATCATTAGGGAGATGATATGAAACATACGGTCGCATGTGGAGCTCGCTGGTCATTAAAAAGTGTACCAGAGAAGTACATTAACCTTAAACAAGCTCTCTACTCGAACATCACTGGTGGAGTGATGGCTTATAGAGAACTGTTATCGGAATTCTCTACTTCAAGTGGTGTCCACTTTCTCCATTCTTGTTTAATTTTGGCATAGACACGCTTCTAGATATAACATTATCTTCGTCTGACTCTTCAGGGGTGGACCTTCTACTACAAGACTCACTTGTTGACTTAGAATATGCCGATGAGATTGTTCTACTTGGTGAAGATGCTGACAAAATGCAGACTCTTCTGACTACCCTAAGCAACAATGAGGGGATATTAGGGATGAGATTCTCCCCGTTGAAGTACAAAATATTGCTTCAGGATTGGCTTGTATCGGCACCTGAACTAGTGATGGGGAGTGAAGCAGCTGAGAATGTCGACCACTTCACTTATCTCGGGAGTTTCATCAGTGCTAATGGTCTGGTGACTGACGAAATCTCAGCACGGATACAGAAGGCTAGATTGGCATTTGCCAACCTGCGACAAATATGGCGTAGGCAAGGTATCCGTTTGCTAACCAAAAGGTGAGTCTACTGCGCAGTAGTTCGCCCCATCCTACCATAGGGATGTGAAACATGGCCAATCAGAGTAGAAGAAAGTCGTCGGTTATGAGTTTCCGATTATAGATATTTTCGGAGTATTGCTCGTGTATCATGGGGAAACCGAGTAAGCAATACAGTTGTTAGGAAATGGGTACTAGGTAAGGTTGGCAGGTTAACAGATGAAATATTGAAACTTCATTAGATGAGGGAGTTGGGACATGTGTTACGTATGCCTAACCATCGACTGCCTCGACAAGCTATGTAGGAGTAGGTTGGAAGAAAGCTAGGGGTGGCCAAACCAAAACATGACACAAATCCATGAAGTCACTGACAAGTGGATTAAGCCATGTTGGTAGGTGTTAAATACCTGGTTGGGACCCCCAACATGATAGTAATCGATGGTTATAGACCTTAAATGATACGTCTGAAAACCGTTTGCAATGGTGCTGGTGCATTCATTCTTTGTGTTCTCACATACCGTGACCTTCTGAATTGCTGTTGTTGACTGACTGACATATGGAGCTATTACTCTATCACACTGTAATGAACGAACACATCCAGATCAGATGAAGTAGTGGTGTAATAAGGGAAGACACTGTTTACAGACAAAATGTGTACACCTTATCTTCAGACTTCCAATGGCAAAACAAACATATTATTAACTATTTTCTCGTCTTCAAAACACTTTGATTGCCTCACACATTCGGATCTGACACTCATCTATCCCACAAAAACTTCCAGGCTACATTTCGCTGAATACTACTTATTTAGGATCCATATGACGATTATTGACCAACATAAAATTATATCATTGTATATATTCGATCGATTGATACTTTTTACATCCACTTTATTTAATCGAAAACTTGTTCATCATATCAGTCAATTATTCTTGATGACAAAAAACACAATTTTCTTTGCATCAGTTCTACAAATTACGTAATATTAATTTTACAAACAACACAGAACTTTTACAACTATTTGCTTAATCATTAAATGATTATGTAATGTAGATTTTAGATCTAATTTAGCAACCGATTATGTAGAAACTGATTACTATTTTTAGGTGAATTATAAAGACGCTGCTACCTTGACATGGTGGTCGGGATTGCCTATTGTGGTGACCCAATCGAACATATGGAACATGTGTTCCTGAAGGTTCTACCATGCCAGGCAGGTCAATTGGAGAACGATGAGACTAAAAGCAACAACCGACTGTAGAGGGGTGTGACAGCAGTAAGGTATTTCCCTCGGACAACCAGCATCTGCAGCGATGCTGCCTTCTGACAAGGAAGGAAGGAGTTAGAAGAGGTCGACCCTAAAAATGTCACACTTCACCTTACCTCACAGGTTTTCATCTCCGGCGGTAAGACCACTTAAAGAGCGCAGCTACTACTCTAAAAACCTATCACAAAAAGGCCGTGAGTGACTGGTCTTAGGCAGCTGTCCCTTGGGCTCTGCGGTCACGCTAACCTAACTTCCTTTTCAGGTTCATCAAGGAACATCCTTCCAAAGTATGGGCAGCCGAAAAGTGACATTTGCCCTCGTACCCGTAACAGCTGCCTGACAACTTTAAATGGATAAATGAAGATATATCTTTTTGTCTACATAGAGTAGTGGATGCTGTTGAGTTTCATTGAAATCATAAACTGATCAATGGTAGACCACCATCGGAAAGCTGGAGGCACTTGACAACCTTTCTGTCTTAGTATGGGACTCCTCAATAGTGGTCTAAAAGTTAAACTCTCGCGATCGGGTTGGATTCCCGTTTGAAGGATCATGTCATGTCATTTAACCAGAGAAGAGTAAATAAACTACTTGAAACAAAAACATGTAATCAATGGTCACGAGATGAAAAAATAATTTCTCGGTATCACCATTTCCTTGATTTCGATTTTTTAACGTGAAAATTCATTTAAATTATGGTAGTCAAATGCAGGTGTTTGTAATCAACTGTGAGACAGTGTACATTCATGAAGACAAGGAATACTTATCCATTTACTAAAAAATCCAACGAGACAAAACAAGGTTTGTAACAGCAATATTTAACTGTAAACTCATTAATTCAACTACCAAATCACCAATTCAAGTATGAAGAGAAAAAAAAATACAGTTACCTTTTGGGATGACGATGAGGATGTTGATGATGATGACTTGGTGGTATTTGAAATGGTACCTAATGACGTATCGCTTCTTTTACACAATTGTTCAGAGTCGTTATTTTTACTAAGTGAATTAGCATTCTTCATAGATGATTTCATTGGTTGAGTAATAATATTTGAATTAGAAATGCCTGGATTGGAGAATAAATCTTGAAAATCTTGTCCTAATAAATGTGAAGGAAGTATCGGTGTTTTGAAAGTATCCTGATCATACTGAAAAAGTGATGAAGAGAGAAAGAGGCACAGATGGAGTTTAGCTATGAATTCAGTTGGATAGGGAAAAAAAGTGACTAACCTAGGTAATGCGTAAGAAACTCAAATATTGAAGGAGACCTTTTATTAAAGAATGGTATCGAAGTTGGGAAATCATTAGCAATCAAAAATACAATAGACGAGATGTTTCTTTTAATAGTCTTTATGAGAAATTCAATGCACAAGCTGAATACACAGAAACAGACAAGCAAGTGAAGGGTAGCAACAGAGCCGACAAACGAAAATATGTAGATGATCTAGCAATAACGACGGAAAAGGCTGCAAGAGAGGGAAACATGAGACAACTATATGATACAACGACGTTTGTTGGAAACTATCGTAAATCAGAACGACCAGTGAAAAGCAAGGAAGGCAAAGTAATCAGCAAGACTGAAGAACAGCGAAACAGGTGGGTAGACCATTTTGAAGAACTCTTGAATCGATCGACCTCAATGAGCTCATCAAACATCGAAGTAGCACCCACGAATCGCCGAATCAATGTTGGCCTACTAACAATCGAAAAGATCCGCATGGCCATCATACAAATCAAGAGCGGCAAAGCAGTGTGACCAAACAACATTCAAGCAGAGGCACTGAAAGCAGACGTGAAAGCAACTGTACAGATACTCCACATTCTCTTCAACAACATTTGGGATGAAGACCAAGTACCCACAGACAGGAAAGAAGGATACCTAATCAAAATACCAAAGAAAGGAGATCTCAGAAAGTGTTAGAACTGTAGAGTAATTACTTTTCTCTCAATACCAAGCAAAGTCTTCAACGGAGTGTAGCTAAACAGAGAATGAAGGATTCCGTAGATACCCAACTTCGATATCAACAGGCTGGATTTCATAAGCATCGAACATGTACCGACCAAATTGCGACACAACGTATCAGTTTTGAACAATCAATTGAATGGAATTCACCACTGTACATCAAATTCACTAACTAAGAGAAAGCATTCAACGATGGGAACATGATGTCACTATGGAAGCTTCTTCAGCACTATGGTGTGCCTGAAAAGATAGTCAACATTATAAGGAATTCTTATAATTTATTAAACTGAGAGATTGTGTATAGAGGACAGCTCACAGATTCACTCCAAGTGAAGACCAGTGTTAGACAAGGTTGCTTACTTTCACCCCTCCTCTTTCTCCAAGTTGTCGTGCTGGGATGCAGCTGGACGATCTGGGCTTCGCAGGTGATCTAATTCTTCTATTGCACACACAGCAAAAAATGCAAGAGAAAACGATCAGTGTAGCAGCAGACTCTGAAGCAGTAAGTCTCAACACTCAAAAGGGAGAAAGCAACATCCCCCGATACAACAAACTATGCACCAACCAAATAACACTTGACAAAGAAGCTTTGGATGATTATCTGGTCAGCATCCTTGATGAACAAGGTGGATGTGACGTAGACTGGCAAAACAACTATAGTACTGCTACAACTGAAGAACATCTGCAACTCAAAACAACTATCAACAAACACCAAAGTCATAAATCTCAATACAAATGTCACGATAGTTCTACTGTATGAGGCGGAAGCTTGGAGAACCAAGAAACCCATCAACCACAAGATATAAGTGTTTGTTAACAGTTGCCTACTCAAAATACTTCGGATTCGTTGGCCAAACAACATTAGCCACAACCTACTATGGGAGAGAACAAATCAGATTCTAGCTGAGGATGACACTAGTAAAAAGCACTTGAGGTGGATGGGACAAACATTGAGCAAATCACTAAACTGTGACACAAGACAAGTCCTCACTTGAGATCCTCGAGGACAAACGAAAACAGGAAGACCAAAGAACATATTACGCCGAAAATTGGAAGCACACATGAAAAGAATGGACAGTAATTGAGTAAAACTGGAAATAAACGCCCAGGATAAAGTAGGTTGAAGAAGGCTGATCGGTGGTCTAAGCTGCAATAAAGGTAACAGTTGTAGGTTATTTAAGTAAGAAATAATGAATCATAAACAAAGTAGACAAGTATATCATACGAATAAGAGCTCACTCACTTTTGGCTCTGCACTCTGCAACGGTCCAAAATCAGAATTTTGGCAAGTTTGATCCACTTCGCTAAAGACAGATTCTAAATCAGTCATGAATTCATTTTTATTTTGGTGGTCGAAAAAACCTTTGTTACAAATTTTTAAAAAAAACGATTGAGAAATAATAAACGTGTGTAAGGAAAATTACTGACAGGTTTTCTTAGACAACAAACTCGTTATCATCATCAGTATACACGAAGCTGGGATTGAATCAATGTGTGTTATGTGTATACCCTGACAGTAATACTCAGACACAACCTTCTAGTAGCCTTGTATGCAACGAGGATGAAAGAATTGATACTCTATTATGCCTGATGGTTTTGACCCAATACTAACTGGCCCCGAAAACTGGAGGAGAACACAAGACCAATCAATGATCATCCGTCCAACATCGTTATTATATTTCAAACCAATAAACAGAAAATAACCATCAGATATAAATGAGTCAAAAGTATCTGTATGAGTAGGGAGTGATTGTAAATACAATAAACTTGGAACATAATAGAAACAGTAAATTGTTTGATAATAAATTTATGAGTTAATGAAAAGTTTATGATAAAACGAATAGATATACTTGACAATCTAGTTACTGAATATAATTAACCAATAATCATTCATAAATTAGTTTTCCAAGTTACTAAACATGGCACAAATTCATGAAGTCGCTGTCAGTCAGTCAGTCAGATGCAACGTTGAACTTCGCACGTAAGTACATCAGTTCATGTCGCCATACCACATCAGCACAGAGATATAATTGTCAATCCAAATCCAATAATAGAAGAGGTAGTAAGAGAATTAGAAGTAATCGGAGAGGTTAGGATTAGAAGATATTATTCAAGAAGTATGATTCAGTGAGAAAAGTTTAGAGAGTCGAAACTAGAGGTGTTGAAGAATCCAGAACATTAGGATTTGAGAGAACATAAGGAATAAATGCACCGGCGCCATTGCGAACGATTTTGAGCCATGTCATTCAAGGTCTCTAACCATTGATTATTATCATCTCGCGGACCCCAACCAGGTAGTCGACAATTACCGACATGGCTAAGTCCACTCGTCAATGACTTCATGGATTTTTGCCATGTTTTGGCTTGGCCGCCCCTAACTTTCTTCCAACCTATTCCTATACTACAAAACAAAGCTCTTTGAGGCAATCGGTGGTTGGGCATACGCAACACATGTCCCAACCACCTCAACTGATGAAGTGTCACTACTGCGTCTATTGATCTGCCATTCTTACCTAGAACCCGATTCCTAATAACAGCGTGGCTCACTCAGGTGTCCCACAATATACGAGCAATGCTTCGAAGACACCTACAATCGAGAACTAGTAACATACGAATATCTTCTACTCTCACTGGCCATGTTTCATAGACATATAGCAGAACGGAGCGAACCACTGCACAGTACACTCGTCCTTTAGTCAGCAAACGGATATCTCGCCTACGCCATAAGTGACGCAGATTGGCAAAAGCCAATCGAGCCTTCTATATCCGAGCGGAGATTTCGTCAGTCACCAGGCCATCAGCACAGATGAGACTCCCAAGATACGTGAAGCGGTCTAAACGTTCGACTACTTCACTCCCTATCACTAGTTCAGGTGCCGATGAAACCCAATCTTGAAGCAACATTTTGCAATTCGAGGGGGAAAACCGCATCACGAACATGCTTGCATTGTTGCTTAGGGTAGTCAGAAGACTCTGCATTTTGTCAGCGTCTTCACCAAGTAGGACTATGTCATCGGCATATTCGAAGTCAATAAGCGAGCCACCTGGTAGAAGGTCTACTCCTGAAAATTCAGACGAGCGTAAGGTTATGTATAGGAGCATGTCTACGATAAAATTAAACAAGAATGCAGAAAGTGGACATCCCTGACGGACACGACTTGATGTAGAGAATTCCGGTGACAGTTCGCCATAAGCCCTCACTCGACCAGTGGTGTTCGAGTAGAGAGCTTGTATAAGTTTAATGTACTTATTTGGTACACCCTTCAATGACAGACACTGCCACAGAAGTCGCTGACAAATGAACTGAGCCATGCTGCTAAGTGTAGACTACCCGGTTGGGGTAACTGATGGTTAGAGACTTTGAACAATATGGCTCAAAATCGTTTGCAATCGTGCAGGTGCATTCATTCAATGTGTTCCCTCAAATTCTAATCTTCTGAATTCTTCATCATCAACTCTAACTTTCTCTTTCTAAACTTCGTAGATACGTACATAGGTTCAGGTTGCCATACCGCATTAGCACAGAGACGCAATTTGAGTTCAAATCCAATAGTGGTAGCGATAGTAGAAGTATTAGCAGTAATGGAGAAGATTAGGATTCGAAGATATGATTCGAGAAGTATAATCCAGTGAGGTAAATTTAAAAAGAGAAAGTTAGAGGTGATGAGGAATCCAGAAGATTAGGATTTGAGAGAGCTAAAAGAATGGATGCACTTGCGCCACTGCAAACGATTTTGAGCCATGTCGTTCAAGGTCTCTAACCACTGGTGACCTTCGCCTCGCGTACCCCAACCAGGTAGTCTACATCTACCAACATGACTTAGTTCACTTGTTAGTGACTTTATGGATTTGTGTCATGTTTTCGTTTGGCCCCATCCAGCTTTCTTCCAACCTACTCCTACACCACAATACATAGCTCGTCGAGGCAGTTAGTGGTTAGGCATACGTAACACATGTCCCAACCACCTCAACTAATGAAGTTTCAATACTTCATCTATTTATCTGCCATCCTTATCTAGTGCCCATTTCTTAACGACAACATTGCTAACTCAGTTGTCCCAGAATACACAAGCAGTACTTCGAAGACACCTATGATCGAAGACAAACAATCTACAAATATCCTCTACTCTCACCAGCCATGTAAGAAAGGTTGTTAATGGTATAAACTAAATCACTAATACTTTTTTTCACTTAAATTAATTCAGTTCTACATCAGTTGTCTTTTTGAGAAGAAAATCATAAGAAAGCTATGAATACAAAGAAAAGACACACTGTGATGGTGTTTCGTTCTCTAAGCTGAATGTTTTGGTTGTGGATATCATCAGTAGCACAAACTTCAGATGGAAAATTAACTGACTAATTATCAAGTGAAATTCAATGACATTGCTGAAACTTCACCAAAATGAATATCATTTTATATTGATATAATGTAAAAGAAAGGTCAATTTACTTGAATATGTTAAATTTAAGTAGTATACAATGAGAAAGACATATCACTTACGTGAATCTACTCCAGAAAATTGTCCAATAAATTTATCATCTTTTGTATTATTAAGAAATAAATCATTGAACAAATCTCTATGATCAGCAGGAACTTGTTCAGTAGATTTATTCAATAAATCTAAATAAATATATATATATAACAAATTGAATGAAAGATGATCTCATACATTAGAAAAACATATGAAGACAAAAATAGAATCAAACATGAAAAAAGGCGTCTGACGAAACCTTGAGACAAATACAGAATGTTCGATTGGCTTTAGCTAATGTTTGTCGCTTATGAAGTACGTGAGACATTCATCTGCCAACCAAACAACCAGCTTAATGGAAGTGAAACACGGTAATTAAAAATAAAGGATATTCGTAGGTTGCCAATATTTCAATACAGGTTTCTGGGACCACCAAGCAGGCGACGCCCAGTTTAGGAATAGGTTACTATGTAAGGATGCCAAACCAATTAGTGAGGTAGTGAATTTTCATCAGCTAACGTGGTTGGGATGTGTGTTACGTACACCCAACTATTGTCTATTTCCACTGGCAGTTATGTCTGATGTAGGAGTAGGCCAGAAGATAGCTAGGGAGGTCATACCAATATATGGAACCAGTTCATGAAATTATTTACAATTTGACTGAGTCATGTAGCTCCATTTCAAAACTTTTCTACACCAGCCATCGTTTTGAGTCAAGACTGATGTAGACAGAATGTCCATCTGCCAACCAAAGGACGAGTGTACTGCGCAACAGTTCGCTCCGTCCTACTTCATGGATGCGAAACATGGCCAGTAAGAGTTAAGGATATTCGTAAGTTATTAGTATTCGATTATAGATGTCTTCCGAACATAGCTCGTATATCCTGAGACAACCGGATAAGAAAAGCTGTCGTTAGGAAACGAGTAACAAGTAAGGATGGCAAATCAGTAGACGAATTATTGAAACTTCATCAGTTGAAGTGGTTGGGACATGTGTTACGTATGCGCAAACACCGACTGCCTCGATGAGCGATGTTTTGTAGCGTAGGAGTAGGTTGAAAGAAAGTTAGGGGTGACCAAATCAAAATATGGCACAAATCAATAAATTCATTGGCAAGTGGACTGAGCCATGTTTGTAGGTGTAGACTACTAGGTTGGGGTCCACGAGACAATAGTAACTAATGGTTAAAGACCCTGAATGATATGTCTCAAAATCGTTTGCAATGGTGCAGGTGTATCCACTGTTTGTGTTCTTTGATATTCTAATCTCATGAATTCCTCATCACCTCTATCTTTCTCTTTCTAAATGTATTTCACTTAATTATACTTCTTGAATAATATCTTCTAATCCTAACCTCTCCGATTACTTCTAATACCTTTACTACCTCTACTACTATTGGATTTGAATTGATAATTGCGCCCCTGTGCTAATGTGGTATGGCAATCTGAACTTATGCATGTACGTACGAAGTTCTACGTTGTAACTATCTGTTTGTCTGTGTCTGTGAGTCAGGTTGAAAGATGATTAGATATGCATAACACTTTCGCCAACCAACTAAGATAATCAACACTCTCATAACATCATCTCCTCATAAACTTATCATTCAAAACATCAACAAAGTAAAGCAGTTCAAACAATTTTACAAACTTCATGATTAACTTAACCCTTGAATATTTAACAGTGTATTACCTTCAGTAGTACCATCTAAACTAGTTTGATTTCTGGCTGATTTAAATTGTTCAGAATTAAAATCAAATTGATCACAATTAGTCCCAGAGAAAATTTCATCTAATCGTTTATCCAATTCAGCTTCATTTGTTAACATTGTTTTCGATTGATGATGTACTGATGCGCCATGGCTATTGTCATTTGAATTATTTAATTCAACTTGATTCATATCACCGCCACTATCTAACCTGTGTATGTTTTAAAAAATAAACAAGTTTGAATATGTATGTATGTTTGTTAGTTTGTTTTTGTTTTTTGCAGCTCAACACACATTGAACACTCTTGAAACATTGAACAACAAACCAAAACTACAACTTACCATTGATTATTGAGCAAATCTAGATTTTTTTTTTAAAGAAAAAACAAATCTTTCGATGCATTGACCAAGTGATTCAGTAATTTCACTTTGGTCCTCTTATTGTGCTGAATTTGGTCTCATTTTATTAATAACCTGGGGCGCTAATAATAATATGCAGCTATACAAAATGTCACATTAGAGGGGATTGCAGTTGACCTGATTAGTATTATTATTAGGATTTCCATCAATTGTCATCAAGTTCAGCTTCATCTACGTACTTTGTCTGATTCGACGAGGGTGTAGATACTACTACTACATGCGCCGAGAACATGAAGTGTATTTTGAAACTAAAATCAATTAGTCAAAGACTGTGCGTGAACTGTGTAAGCATACTACTACTACTAAGCCGTTAATGATTTGCATAAATTCCCTATTTTGATGCAGATTTCCGTTACACTTCACTATGAAATTTGAATTTACAAATATCTATGAGAAATTACATGACAATTTAGCTCGATGATCAGTCAACCAACTTCATACTATCAATAATGATTATTTTTGGCTCATTAGTTAACATGTGACCGATACGCAACACTTTTAAACTCATCTACTATCTACAGATTAATCTACTTGACCATACTCTAAGAATGAGTGGTAGTCATATCCCTCAAATTGTCCAAAGTCAGAAAAATGGGTAGGCGGTTCGAACCTAGAAGCTTAGAATTTGAACATCTTAATCATTGAATTACCTTAGGTCGTTTAATATTTGCAACCTATTTGTATCTACCTAATAATATCAAACAACTGTCAAATGAATATCTTATTGATAAGTAAAATTTAACATTCTAATCAAAAATCTGATTGAATAGACCATGACTAGAAACCTGGAAGCACTGAAAGACGGCCATTTCGTCCTGGTATAGGACTCATCAGCCGTGCGCATCCACAACTCCTACACCTAGCAGGATTCAACCTGTAAAAAAAACACTGATCTCCATAACTCGAATTGAAAAAAACGAATACAATTACCCAAATAGATGAAAGCATTTGAAATTAAGTTTTTGTGTAGATCTAAATAAGTTTTCAACTAAAATAAAACTATTTTTTTCCCAAAAACCAAGCAGAAAATTATCATTGTGTCATTAATATGAATGGAAAAAAAATCGATGATAAACATGTAAAGTGCATTGAACACATTAAAATCAATCAAAAAAAATTAGACACATACAACTAAAATAACTCAACTCAAACTAAGAACCTTAAATGGATAAATAAATGCAAAACATTCTTTCACCAAGTGGTAATTAGAAAATCTTTCAAGACAGTCCACATATGGTGTAGGGGCAAACTCAAAACTATGCACATTGACACGCACTCAGGCACGCACGCACGCACGCATATTTACCAAGTCAACGCTTTTGGTCCTTCTAAGAAGGAATCATCAGTTTTTAAAGCTTCATATCCATTAGGAGGGATGTGTGAATGAATTGAAGAGAAAATACGTGAAGCTGTGCAATTTCTCAAAAATTGATTATGAGTATGTCCGATATCACTACTACTACTACTAGATGACGAAGAGTTACATTCATTTCTCTCATTATTATTATTATTATTTGCTTCCTTCTCTGTTGTCACATCATCATTTTCGCTAGTTTGTTATGAAAACAAAAGAAATGATAAACAATGATATCAAAACTAAAAAGTACTATTACTTAAAAATAAACCGGGAGTTTCATCAGTGCTAATGGCCTCGTGTGACTAGCAAAATCTCAGCACTCTAAAAGCAGAGTCTTCTGACTACCCTAAGCAATAGTGCAAGCATGTTCGCGATGCGATTCTCCCTGTTGAAATGCAAAATGTTGCTTCAGGATTGGGTCGCATCGGCACCGGAGCTAGTGATAGGGAGTGAAGTAGTCGAGCGTGTCGACCGCTTCACTTATCTTAGGAGTCTCATCAGTGCTGATAGCCTTGTGTGTGACGAAATTTCAGCACGAATACAGAAGGATCGATTTGGCTTTTGCCAACCATCGTCACTTATGGTGTAGGCGAAATATACATTTGCTAACCAAAGAACGAGTTAACTGCACAGCAGTTCGTTCCGTCCTAGTATATAGATGTGAAACATGGCCGGTAAGAGTTGAGAATATTTGCAGGTTATTAGTATTCGATTATATATGTCTTCCGAACATTGCTCGTGTATCGTAGGACAACCAAGTAAGTAATGCTGTCGGCTAGAAACGCATACTATGCAGCGATGGCAAATAAATAGATGAAGTATTGAAATTTCATCAGTTGAAGGGGTTCGGACATGTGTTACGTATGAGCAACCGCCGACTGCCTAGATGAACTATGTTTTGTAATGCAGGAGTTGGTTGGAAGAAAACTAAGGGTGGCCAAAACAATATATATATATATATATATATATATATATATATATATATATATAATGAAACAAATATACCAGTAAGACAGTTTATTTGTTAGCCTAATGTGAGTTACAATTAACTGTATCAAATATAAATATATAAATAGACAGATACAACGCAGAAATTCGTACGTAAATACATCAGTTCAGGTTGCCATACACCACATCAGCACAGAGACGCAACTGTCAGTTCAAATCTAAGAGCGATAGCAATAATAGAAGTATTAGGAGTAATCAAGAGAAGATTAGGAAGCGAAGATATGATTCGAGAAGTATAATTCAGTAAGATAAATTTAGAAGGATAAAGGTAGAGATTATGAGGAATTCAGAAGAGAACACAAAGAATGGATGCACCTGCGCCATTGTACGTTGTGGGCAGCCAGGAAGTGACAGTCGCCCTTATACCCGTAACAGCACAAGAGACCGAATTATTCACGATCACATAAATGAATAAATAAATCACTTTATTACTTATAATATGAAAAAATTACCTATCGATATCTTTTTCACCATCAACATCATCATCATCAGTTTTATATCCAGCCAATTTACGACTTTCTGGTCTTAAATGTCGTAGAATTGAAAATTCATAATATTGATAACCTCGAAAACTTTCTGCTACAGCTACCATCATACTGATTGATAATGAAGAACAAAAAAAAGAAAAAATATTAAAACTGTATAAAAAAAAGTAATTTACTCTAGTTTTAAAAAAAAATAATAGTAACTAAAGATAAAATTAGAAATAATCATTGTGTATGAAGTTTGTTTGACTTGACCATTAACAGACACAAAAAAATCTTACTGAAACGCGAAAATGGTACACATTGCAACAACGATGCATAGTTAATTATGGTGAGATAGTTTAGCCGTAAACAAGATGGCCACAAAAGGTCATAATGTGGGCGATTATTATTTGCTAGTCATCTACACTATGGAAGGATACTTTTCAGGTATCTGAAACTGGAACTACATTATTAGAAGTTCTGTCAACATACGGAACTCTTGCGATTGATTCAACTGCAAAATCATACACATGGAGGACAACTCACATACCCATTACAAGTGAAAACGTGTCAGACAAGGTTGCTTACTCCCAAACTTTCTCATTATCCTGGTAGTTAACTGGATTAAGACCGCAACATCTCTGGGGAAGCAAGGGATACGGTGGACAGCCAGGATTCAGCTAGACAATATGGACTTCGTAGATGATCTAACTTTTTTATCACACACACACACACACCACAACAAATGCAAGAGAAGACGATCAGTGTAGCAGCAGAATCTGCAGCAGTAGGTTCCAACCTACACAAGGAAAAAAGTAACGACCTCCGATACAACGCAACATACACCAACCAAATCACACTTGACAAAGAAGCTTTGGATGATGTACAAACCTCTACATATCTGGCCAGCATCACTGATGAGCAAGGTGGGTCTGATACAGATGTGAAGGTGCGGATTGACAAAGCAAGGACAGCATTTCTACAACTGAAAAATATCTGCAACTTAAAACAGTTATCAACCCACACCAAAGCCAGAATCTCCACGAAACTTGGAGAACTACCAGAATGATCCTTCATAAGATAAATGTGTTTATTAACAGTTCTCTATGCAAGATACTCCGGATCCGTTGGCCAGATAGCATCAGCAACATCGGACTGTTGGAAAGAACAGTCCAGATTCCAGCTGAGGATCAGGCTAGGAAAATGAGCTGCAGGTGGATAGGACATACATCGCGGAAATCACCAAGCTACGTCACGAGGTAAGCTCTAACTAAGGACCCCCAAGGCCAAAAGAAAAGAGGTAAACCAAGGAACACACTGCACTGAGAATTAGAGGCAGAAATGAGAAGAATGAATAGTAAATGGGAAAAACCGGGGAGGAGATCCCATGACAGAGTTGGTTGGAGAAGCCTGGCCGGCAACTTATCTCCATTAGGAGTAACAGGAGTAAGTTGACAGCTGGGGACATAACCATAGAAACCAGGAGACAACTGCTTGACGCCAATCAGTCTTTCTGAAGTTCTATATTTATTACGTCCACATTCTGAATTCTTGAGCCCTGGTGACAGAAATATGTAAGCGTTCCATTTATAGGGTCAAACTTTTTAAACTCCCCCTCAGTTATCGGAAGGAATCATTATTGTAGATGTTGGTTGTCTGAATAATACAGCTTCTGCCATCACGACACTGGTCAGCAGTGCGATTTTACCCTATGACCTTAATACGCTACTTAGTTTTACTGTTACCCAGCTGACTAGCCTAGCGTGGTAGGACCTGAGAGTGTTCCCCCCAATAAAGCTATATTGAGTCATCACGATAACCAAGCTTGACCACCAAATCAAGGCAGCATATACAAACGGGTGAAGTGGTTAACACAAATATTATGTGCTTCTATGGTGAGAATCACAGGGTGAACAATTTTGAGGTTGTAGGTAATCAAGTTGTAACTGATATGGTTAAGGTACGTGTCAAATACAGTTAAAAACATTCATCTTCAAAATGAAACAATCAAAGCTAGAATAGGATGAAATTATTAATTATTGATACATCCTAGTTTGTGTTACAGAACGTGACTATAGTAAATAAAAGATGAACTGAATTTAGTGCACCTAACGGACTACAATTAACTCACTATGGTATTTTATTCTTAAATCTACAGACACAATTAACAGGTAGGAAGAAGTATTGAATTGATTTATGTTGTAGACAATTTACTGGGAGTTCGGAGACACTTGAGAACTAATAAATATTATGTCAGTAGTAGATTTCGCGAATCAAAAGAATATGTAGAATGAAATTTTGCTAGAATAGTATGCAACAATATATGCAAATAATGAAGTTTAAGGTGTTCCAATAAGCCTTTTTGGGAATCACTTTTAAGATAGAAGAGATATGGTGTATAGTATAGGATTCTCAATTCTTTGCACAATCCTTCACATCAATGAGTTTCAAACGCAGAAAAAAAGTTTCATGTTCATTCAATAGAACAAAAACTTAAACGTACTGGGATGTTTTTTCAAGAAAAGTTAACAAAGTGTTCTGATATCCGACAAGTACATGACTTAGCATATTACATCGACTAGCTGCTAACAGATCAATTTTTTGCATACTGTCCACTTTTAAGCGATCAAATGATGCTTTTGCTTTACGAACCTAAATGTGGAAAAAAATAAACAATCAACAGTTGTTTGTGTACCATTAAGTTATAATGTTGTATCAAAGTAAGAATTTGGCGGAGAAACGGAATATCTAAATAATCTTCGCTTACATGCCAACGAATGACAGACCGGAAGGAACTACGTTTTCGCCCCCAATTACATGAATACAATGTGTTTGACAAATATTGTAATGCTAGTTGGAGATTTAAATGCATAGGTCATATATTTAGACGCATAGTTGTTTCAGTGATCGACGGCCCCACGTTAAGTCAGTGCTGTCTACAGCTTGTTTCTAGTAGCGCCAACTTTTGGCGCAAGCATTGCTGATACACCAATTAATATTCTTTCTCTGTAACTCAAACGTGAACTCAGGTTGGTCACATTAGTATCAGCGTAGATGTGTATAAAACTGTCGCTCCTGAAGGAGTACCTATTTGGATTCCGTTCATGCCTTAGTTTGCATTGAATTTATCTTGCGTTTCCCGAACCAACAGGTTTATCATCCTAAACGTATCCATATATATGCAAAGTGGTTATACCTTTCGTCGCTAGTATACAGAGTTAGCCTCAAGGTTGGCCATTAGTCCACAGAAAAGCATATACCAGTAACAGATACGTTCTCAAGACACCATGAACATGAGTTAATTTGTTTGCAGCTTTACAAAATATCCTGCTTGTGAACATTAGGTTTTGGCTGGCTACTCAAAACTCCCTGACAGATGCCGATTTATTTGGGCGAGTCGCCAGTTTCACAAGGCTTGTATAAAGCAGAATTCTGTACGAAACTTTAGATTCCGAACAGTTACAAGCCACTAACCAAGATGAACTACCCTGATCGTTTTTAGGGATGACCGGAAGCCTTTAATTGGTATATAAGATTTAATATTTGTATTTACGTTCATCTAACATATTGTAGCCGACTATGTTATTGTAAAATCGTATTTACGTTGTTCCCTAAGTTTTTATTTTCAGAAGAATGTAACTACTAATACAAGGTGTTTAATAGAGACAGGTTAAATTCACATAACTGTATACGCATTTCGCAATACAACATCTGATTGATGACTTGCCTATCAAATGCATCACTTGAATTCTGTTCGCTAAACTGCTGTCAGTTATCTGATGAATTCCTTCAACATTATTATGTATAGTTTCCTGTTTATATATTAACTACAGTCCGTTACGATATTGATCTAAAATTCTTGAGACACGCTGAAACTCTGGACAGACTGAATTCATTTCAAACAGATTAGACAAATCTAATGCATCCTTAAATTTAATTCCGTATAATACGGTTACTGGATATCCTATTTCCAGTGCTATTTGTACGCTAACAAAATTGTTAGTGATTTTAGGCGCAAGCTGAGTGATTAATCACAAAAAGGTTCAATCCTGGAGTGAATCCAATAACACCACTAATTCAGTCCCGCTGTGTTCATTTGATCATATTATATTTGGTTTTTTTATTGCCAGTTTACATGCAGGTTAATTCAGTCACTTAAACACACATTCAGAAACATTTGTATTTCAGTTCTTACTTAATTTACTCAATAACGGTCGTCTGGGTAAAGAGGACGAAAGAAACATCAATGCGCAATCGAAATTCCTTAACGGTGATGGGTTACACCCTAACTTTAAACTACATGGATGTACATCTAAAAGGGGAAGTGATATTTGTTAGCCTTAATTGCGTTCCACGCAGACGAAAACTAACAATCAAGAAACCCAAACTTATAATTTATAATAGACTACTTCCGAGCACTTAATAACTAAGTTGATTACTTGGTTTTTTAAGTATACGATTGATTGCATCAGTCCTGAGCATTAACGGTTGATGTTTACAGGTATTCATTTTTGATCGTATGGAATAAACATGATTTTTAACCCAATGGTTCATTTCTTGATCCTTACTCAGCTATCCTATTTGAGATAAACCACATCAGTTGTAAGGCTACCCAACCAGCTTAAGTATCATTTACCATTCAAATTAAAAAATTTAGACTTTAATCAATCAATGTTATTTAGGGTCTGTTAGTTGATAATAGTTGACTGGATCAAGTGAACGTGAAACTGGTGCATGCTACACGGTTTTCAAAATTTTCATTTACGAATTACCTGGGCTTGAACACATCGAAATTTTTCCAATTGTTTGTGTGTATCCGGGTCTAACTCCTCGCTTACACTTTTCATCCACAACAACGCACCTCGATATTCCGTACGAAATTGTTCCATATGTTTAACTGTGTTTGTCGTATCACTGATTGCTCGTTGTCTGAATGTTTTGACTTCTTGGTGAACACGATCAAGAGGATCGAGTAAGGTAAGTCTGTGTGAGATACAAATTCACAAGATAAGACAGTTTTACCGAAAAAAAATCAAATAGGTTAGTTTCGATTCCAACGCAGTCTAAACATTGATATGAGGATTTACAGTCAACCACAGGCGTGATTTACAACAAAACAAATTACTCTGCTAGAAGTAACGTAGCATAGGTCTTGATCATCACGCTACTTGTCAGAGTGCAATACTGATGATAATGGTTACATAACCAAAATATTCAACAGTAAAAGCATGTCAGATGGGTAGGAAAACACAATACATGTATCGTACAATGCTAAGTTAGCAGAAAGTCGTAGGTTGGTTGGTTAGAATTAAAAATGATTAATGTCGTAATGTGCCCAATAATAAGATAGTAAACAAAAACGAATTTTACCTTTGTTGTGCTGAGCTACTCAAAGCTTTTCCGACAGCAGACATAATTTTCCCGGCCTGCGTTTTGTCTTCTAAACTATATTGCTTTAAAAACCGTCCCATTTCATTTTCAGCCTGTGAAACATCTGAAGGATTATTAGTATAGTTATGAAAATTTACAGCATATAGTTCTCTGATAACGTGCCAATATATTATCAAGGTCTCGACATGTCGACTGAACAGATTTCAGTAGCTAAAGGCGTAATTAAGGGAATGTCTTATTACCTCCAATTTCGCGTCTAGATCGGAGTCGGAAGCCACAATATTTTCGTCTTGCTTTCGACGTAGTGTCTTAATTACAGCTTGTTTGGTGGTCCAATATGCATTCTTGAGTTTGTGAGACTTTGAGTCATCAGTCCTTTGTAAATATCGGTCACAGTTAGGGTTATAATAGCTAATTTGCAACCAATGTCAAACAAATAGATCCACATACCTCGTCATAATAAACGTAACGTGACTTTGGAATTTCGCGGAATAAGTTTCCTGATATCCAATATCCAGAATGGTTATGATGGGACTGCTCCAACCAAATAATTTCCTTGAATTCGCTACATCTAGTTTTGATACGGACCTTGGTCTTTCAATAATGTCCAGTGAGTAGTTGTCTGATAATTCGAAATCATCCATTTCAGTCGCTTCGGAAGTACTCCGAAGATGTAGGTGTCTGATTTAACTGATGGGTGAAGTTGGTATTAAAGATCTCATCCACCTCTAACTTGGAATGATATACGCCATTTGTACCTCTAAGAGCACAAACAGACTGGATGTTGGTTTTTTAACTCATCAACGTAGGTTGCTACCAATATCCGATATCGTCTTCAGGAGTAGGTATAAATCATCTGATTACTTTGAGCAGGATTGTTGTTCTTTCAATACAGTTCCAGGGGTTTGTTCCTGATACCGAGACCCGCCAGACTTCATGCACTCTGTTTACCTTGGTACGAAACTTCCTGCTATCAAGGAAGTTGCTGAACCAAGACAGGAGTGGACCAATTAAGCTAATCTTCGCAACTTTCGCAATTAGGAGTACGTGAGGTACTATGTCAAAGCATTTCAGAAGTCAAGAAGTATTATATGAACGTGTATTTTTAAGTCCCAGCAGGTTGTCCTGCTATGAGATTGGATGCGCATTACTTGCATTTACTGGACCCGTGTTGAGCTTCATGGAGGATTTTGTTTTCATCCATGTAGTACCCCCATCCGTTCAAAAACCTGTCCTTTCATTAACTCCGATATTATTGGTAGAAATGTGACTTGTTTGTAGGAGGCTGGATCCATGCTATCTCCCCCACTTTAAGATTGGAGAGAGAGTAGCTTGCTTCCATTCATCTGGGAGTTGGTGTGACTCAGGTCACATATACGTGAACTGAGGGCTTCTGTTCATGGTTTCAATAAATTATTATTAATAATATAGGGCTAGTATTATCACATAATGGTTACAATCGTATGCATATGGACTTTAGTTTTCTTAGTGCTAAGTAATGCATGTATCGGGTAATGCCTAGACAAGTACCCGGCACAAGGTTTGAGTAGTACTCTGAACTTCTAGGTACCTAGTATAGCTGACCGATGAAGTTGATGTTAAAAATCTCAGCTACAACCAAGTTAATAAGATCTTCGCCATCTGGTTCTGCGAAAGCGAAAACACCATGGTTTGTAGGTTGATTATTATTTGAAAATTTATACATTTAACCACAGGCGCGGAAACAACCAAGAAATGAAACTTTAGGAAGCATCCAACAGCACCAGGTGCACTAATAGCCGTCGAAATCAACGAACAAAAGTGACTACATTCTTCAGCATCGACGACAGCACTCCAACAGCTTCCCACTGGAAGTAGTATTATTAAGAAAGAGAAAACAAACTGAAAATGACTCATGAAAACTACACCAAAACACTATTTCCTGGAGGTGAACAAAACAACGATAACTTTAGGTTGGTAAAACATTTCGATACATTTATAGAACCTGGAGTTATTGATGACAATCTGCGCTTGCTGTACTTAATCAACTATTGTAAGGGAAAGGCGAGAGATGCGATTGAAGGATGTCTTATAATGGAACCCCACGCAGGATATAAAAGGGCTAAGGCGATTCTAAAGCAGCTTTTCGGACAATCGCACGTAATAGCTCGTGAAACCTTGGAAGACTTGTTTAGATCTGGGAATGCTGATTACAACGACCCAGAGCAATTATTGAATTTGGCAATTAAGATGCAGAACATTGCTCTGACATTGGGACAATTAAATTGTACAGCGGAACTAAACTCCCTAGTAACTTTGGAGCGAATAGTTAGGATTTTACCGCGGTCCATGCAAGTTCAATGGGCGGAACTATCCGTAAGATGGATTGAAGAAGATAGGGAGCCGACGTTCACCGAACTTACTGAGTTTGTATTAGCTCGAGCTAGAATAGCTGGTAGCAGATTCGGTCGGCTGGTCAATCAACTGAAAATAGGACGAGATCTGAAGATGAGCTGCCACCTTCAATCGAAACCTGCAAATATATCGACCATAAGACTTAATTGTAGCATTTGTACTGGCGATCACATGGTTACTAAATGCCCCCAATTTTTAGAGCTTACCGTTCAAGACAGATGGAATCAAATCAGAAAAAAGGGGATGTGTTTCATCTGTCTGAAGCAAGGACATAAGCCTAGTGGCTGTAAAACGACAATGCGTTGTAGTGTTGATAAGTGCGAGAGAAAACATCATGACTTGCTGCATGAGGACTCGACCACCAAAAGGTTGGATGATAAACGTTGCGGACTTACTAGGTCACTAAGCAGTCAGGCATGTTTAGGACTGATCCCAGTACGTGTGAGATCAGGAAAAGCCGAGATTATAGGATATGCTCTTTTGGATAACGGCTCTGATTCTACCTTGATAACGTCAACTTGTGAGAAATCGCTTGGGTTGCCGGAAGACTATGAGTTAGTTGTGGCGCAGACTGTAGGCGGTGACAAAATGGCAAGGTGAACGAACGCCACTTTCGAAGTGCATTCTTTAGATCAGTCGTAACATATCGTGATCGAAGGGGCGATGATCGTATCTAGCCTACCAAGACATGAGCCCACGATGTCAGCAATGAAGAATCTAAATAAGTGGCCGCACTTAAATGATATACCAGTTGAAAGCCTAGACTCTGAAGACGTTTTGATGCTCATCGGTTGTGACGTACCAGAACCACATTGGGTGTTAGAGCAGCGGCTAGGCGGGAAGAAGGCACCGTATGCTGTAAAAACACTACTTGGATGGTCTGTATTTGGACCTACATCATACCCGGAATATAGTAAAAGAGTTGTTAATCATATTAGTAGCGTGCAAGTTTTGGAGGCCCAGATACGTATGATGTGGAGTTTGCTTATGTCTATTCTAGTGACAAGTCAGTGTCTGCAGAAGACCTGTTAGCTCTTGAGATCGTGGAGAGAGGTACGCACTTCGTCGACGGCCATTTTGTAGTTCCGATACCATGGAAACAGGACCCCTATACGAAAGGGACTAATTATGAGGTAGCTAGTAATAGGCTACAGAGTTTGAAGCGAAGATTGATGAGAGACGATAGGTTGCGTGTCAGGTACGCTACATGTATGGAAGATAACGTCTCTAAGGGCTATGCGCAAAGGGTACCTGGGTTGCATTCGGAGTCGGGCTATCGTCCCCGGTGGTATTTACCCCATCATCCCTTGTTGAACCGCAAAAAACCAGATAAGTTTAGAGTGGTCCTGGACTGTGTTGCTAAGTTTGCTGGTATCTCCTTAAACGTTAGTGGAATCACTATAGGTAGTGCTGTTTCTTCGGTTGCCGTTACTAATGTAGCTTCTTTGAGTACTTCGGATCAAGACGAAATTGGATGTTTGAGCGTGGAGGAGGTAGGCGTCGGTGACAATAGCGTCAGCCACAGTGATGGCACTACTGAGAGGGCTAACATTCGGTACCCTAAGTGCAATGAGTAGTCATCTAGCTTTCATGGACATGCTGTTGTGCTGAATATGCAGCATGAGGAATCGAGCATGGAATTGTCCACCTGTCGCACTCGACCATCATTGACTTGTACTACAAGTATCGGGATGAGCACTACCAACAGTGATAAGATAGAAGAGGTTAAGATCATTTCTAGCAACGAAAGCAATGTTGATCGAATAGAGTTGGACACTGCATGAGTCGAATGGATGTCATGGGAAGTGTACTGCTACTTGTACATATGCGGCTACTAATGATTATAGCATTGATAATACTCCTGCGGGTAATAGTGATCGAGGAGAGTTGAAAGACACTCATCGTCATCGAAATGATCGTACGTTACGCTCACATACTTCTACCCAAGCTGAGAAGCATAAGAAACGACATAATGCTACTATTATTAAGAAGTGTAAACTTCGCTCTCTTTCGGATGCTGTGACTAGCAATGGAAATAGTAGCCTTCAGAATCTTAGTAGTGGCAGTGATAGAAAAGAGACAGAAAGTGTAAGCAGTCCACCTATAGTGACTAGTCAATCTACTTCATCGAATGAATCTTCTAGTGTTTTGACGTCTTCGAGCGTTGTCGCAAATGTAAACTTGACTGAAGATGCACAAGATTGTGCAACTGTGACTGTTTCTACTTCGATTGACTGTCAGTCGAGTGATGATGAGAAGAAGGCGTCTGATGGTAACAGCCAGTCTACGGACCTGTATGATAACGACGCTATTAATATGCATATGTCTCGTGTATCTGAAACGGAAAATGAAGAACAACAAGTGAGTTTATCGGTTTCGAATTGTGACACTAATGCTGTTCTTTCATCTAGCGAGATGAGTTATACAACAATGGAAGAGTTTCACTCTACGGATGCTAGTGCAGCCAGAAACGACTTGTCTGACAGAACGGAATCATGGTGACGATGATAATAATCTAGATGTCACTGATGTGACAAATGAGTTGCAGACGATGACGAATACTGATCAAACCTCCTCTGTACCAGGGGATGGAGAGTTAAATATTGTTCCTATGTTATGTTACTTGGAGTCTTCAGGAGACGAGGAAATGTCAAAATTGGAGATCACACCCTTGCATATTATCTATGGGTCAAGAACTTCTGTTGATAAGTCAGCATCACGGACTTCATCGTATCTGCCGTTCGGAGCAAGTGGTGGTGGATTTACGACTCATCCCCATGATGTGGAATGTAAATCCCGAATAGGATATGACCCATCATTGTGAGCATGATTAAGTGCAGTCCTATATCGAGGGGTTTACGAGGTCACGGAATATAACGTGTTCCGATATCCTTTGGTTAATGCAACTTGTCCCGCTCTCTCATGTCATCAAAAGAATACGCACGTAGGAACTGTTTTTCCTCATCTCGTTTTATGTTTCTTGCAAGCTGGTAGCTTGATTTGGAAATTTCTCATAATGCTTCGAAACTAAGCGTGGAATCCTCTCTCTTATGCTTATTGACAG